CGCGCGCGTGGACGGCGACGACGGCGGTGCGGATGCGGCGTCGACGTCGACGTCGTACGAGTTTTACGTCACGACGTTCGGCACGGCGCGGTCGAGGAAGCGTCCGGCGGTGGCGCTGGACGTGGAGACGACGGGCGGGCGGAGGTACCCGCGGGAGGCGCGCGAGGCCATCAGGGTGGAGGCGGAGCGCGTTTTCGACGCGCGAGGGAGTGATTTCGAGGTTCGGGGTGGGGTTTTGGTGACGTGCGACGCGAGCGAGACCGGGGCGGTTCGATTGGACGCGTTCGAGGGGGTGGACGACGACGACGGCGACGACGACGACGACGGCGACGACGAGACGACGTCTGGTGCGTCGACGTCGGCGACGTACGTCAAGGTAAAGCTCAGTGCGAGACCGCTTCCGCCGACAGTGGCGTGGGAGAAGATGTTCGCGCACGCCGCGACGGTGGGTTTACCCATTGAGAGCGCGTTGGAGCACTTGGCGAAGAACGCGATGCACCGCGCGGGAACGCGTAAGATCTCCGTGAGCGCACAGGCAACGGATTCGCCATCGAAAACCGCGAAAGCGGCGGGGCAGAAAATGCGCGTGTACATCGTCTTCGGTGGACAGTCATCCAACACGACGAGTCGGCATAAATCGTGCTACACCGGTCGTCAGCTGTATCTCACGTTGCGAAACGTCGACACGATCGACGCCACGCCCGTGTTGCTAACGCCGCAAGCCAGTCGAGGGTTGAACAGTCTCGTCGACGCTCCGGCGTGGCGACTTCCGTACGCGTGGGCGATGAACTCATCGCAGTGGGACGCCCCAAAGCCGCCGGATCTCGGCAGGTACTCGACGTCTCGGCGCGTGCGCGGCGAATTGGACAAGTATCTGTGGGTGACCCCGCCAAAGGACGACCCCGCGCTCGCGTTCGAGGCCACGCCGAGGGTCTCCCGTCTCGGCGCGCTCTTATCTCTCGCCGCTTCCGAGGGTGCCATCGTGTTCAACTGCGTCGCTGACGACGGTTCTTTGCAGCAGTTGTGCACGTCGGCGGGCGTCGCGTACACCGGGTGCGGTCCACTCGCGTCCCGCGTCAGCGCGGATAAGGTAGCGCTTGCGAAAACCTTAGGAAGTCTCAGATCAGAGGGTATCGCGTGCTTGAACAAGCGCTTCGTCCCTGCGGCGACGCTCTTGAGCAAGGCGTTGGAAGAGAGCTCGTGGGGCGGCCGCGCGCGAGGCGAGGGCGTGAAGCGTATTTGGTTGGACGTCGTCGGATCGCTCGGGGGACCCGCGGCGCTTCCTCACGGCGCCAGAGTATCGCCCGTCGCGGATGGCTCAATCGGGTCGGCGTTCGATGACTTCGCTTCGAGTCGAGTGGCGGATGAGAACGAACTGTTGGCGTTTGCTGAGGACCAGGCGAATAAGCATCCGGTGCGTGGATATCTGTTTGAATCGTATTTCGAGCCCGCGGAGGTCACGCTTGCGAGCGATGGCGAATCACTCGCGTTGAGCGACTCGAAATCGAAGTGGGTCGAGATCACCGTGGGCGTGTTCGGCGATAGACCGGGGACATTGAAGGCCTTTGCGCCGAGCGTTCGAGCGCGAACCTCGGATCCGCGCCTGAAATCGCATGTGTTCGTAATCGACATCGCTGGTGACGTTCTCAACGCTCGCGTCGCGGCTCAAGCGCGTGAACGTGCGAGGCGCGTCGCCGAACTCATGCAGGTGGAGGGGTTCGCCTCGATCGACGCGTACGCGAACGTAGATACCGGTGAAATCGTCGTCGCCGCAGTAGACACGGTTCCAGACATGACGTGTCCAAACGCTCCGATTTTCGAGCAGGCGCTCATGGAGGACCCGCCGATAGATGCCGAGGGATTTTGCGTGAAACTATTGAGCCAAGCGCTCGTTAGGCGATTCCGATAGCGAAAAGTTGTAAAATTGTTCTGTTGTGTGCATGAAAATTGGTCAAAGCGTGTCAAGTGCGTCTAAAAGAACATCGAGTGATCTCACGCCGCCGCCGCGCTCGAAGCGATGACATCCACTTCGTGTTCTTGTTTCGCGGGAACAGTGGACGGTTCATCGTCGCGAATCTCGCCTTCTTCAAGCTCGTCCTCGCTCGACGGTTCCTGAACGTTTGGCGACGAGGACGCAGACGCCGATATCAACGCCCCGGTCTTATGGCGCCGCTTCGATGTTCGCATTCTTGGTGGTGTGGGTGGACTCTCTAACGCAACTTTCGACGGCAGGTGCATGTCCTCCAACTCCTCGCGAAGCGTGTCGATATTCGTCGACGCTGCGAGCGCCACTGCCTCGTTGCACGCCTCGAGTTTGTCGATTTGACTCACCGAGTACAGACGAATCGCGTACGTGAGCTGTGGCACGTAATACGACGTGAAATCGTCACACCGTATCTTGATGAGATCCTCGAGCTTTTCGAGCTGCGCTACGAGCGCGTTAATCTCCGTGTTCACCGCGTCGATTTCCTTCTGATGCTCCAACGTATCGTCTTCTTGTTGTTTCTTACTCTTGAGTGCCGTGAGACGATGGAACCGTTTCTCCGCCGCCGCGTGCGAGTTCCACGTTCGTTCGTGTTCCGTGAGCGCTGATTCCAACGTCTTCTCGTACGAAGCCTGCACGTCTTGATGCATCTTCAAAACTCGACCGCGCCAAGCCTTGATGGAATCGCCCACGCTCTTCGCATTTTGCTTCACCGTCGACCCAAAATCGCGCTGCAGCTTCTCCAAGACCACCGAATCTCGAAGAGACGGCATCGATATCCCACCGTCCGCGTTTGATTCGCTCGCGATGCGTTCGAGCATATCTTTTTCTCGCGGATGTCTCGCCTCCTCGAGTCGGCTCTGCGGCGTCGGCTCGCCGAGACGCTTCGCTTTGCCACCCTTATGCGCGGTCTCGCGCTCACTCTCTTCCGCCACCTCGTCCGCGGCCTCGACTCGGGCGTACCAGTCGTTTGCGTCCAGCAAGAGATTGGCGCCGACGGAGCGCACGACGGCGACGGCGCAGACCTTCTCGCAGAGTTCGTCGTCGTGGTTGTACAAATGGTCCGCGCTCGACGTCGCGCCGTAGGCGTCTCCACCGATGCATGATGAGCCGCCGCCAACGCACGATCTACCGACCGATTTGTGCTTTGCGCGTCTATTTCTGTGTCGCGAACCGTTGGAACCCATCGTGCGCGTCGTCGTGTCCGGCGCGCGCGCGTCTTCCCATGCCAAGACGACGATGTCAAAACTTTGAATAAATAACAATCCGGATGTCTTTTAATTTTAAAGCGGTGGCGTTCACGCGCTCGTCACGCGCGCGCAAATATCACGAATGCACAACATCTGTGCCTTCGCGCTGGCGCGCATATACGTGAGCTGTTCGATCTGCTCCTCTTGCTCCTGCGACACGCCCTTGGCTCGGAGCGCGCTCACTTGTTGCGTAAACTGCTCGTCTTGCTCCTCCATGGCGACCAAAAACCCATCCACGGAGGCTGCGAACGAACCCACCTCCATCCCAGCCTCCGAAACGCACTTCACCAGCACCGCGTTCTCCGCGTTCTCATCATCCGCCCCCGATTCCATCGCGTTCAACCCCGCGACGACGTTATCGATCACGGTCAGCTCCGCCGGGGCGTTCGCCTGTTGAAACGCGTCCAATAAAAAATTAAACACCCCTCTCAAAGCTTGCAACACCTCCTCATCTTCGTTCTTCTCCTCCGCCGCTCGCATGGTCGCCAACGCCGCCTCCACGACGCCCTCCGTCAACTCTCCTCGCTCGCACATCGTCCGCACCAGCGCCGTCGCCTCCTCCGGCGTCTGACAGTTCAAAACCTTGTAAAAGTTTGCGAAATCCTCCTCGGACACTCCCGCCGGCGCCGCGCGCGCCTCATTCAGCGCGTCGCGAAGTCCATCGCCCGGTTCGCTCGTCGCGCGCGCCAGGTCGACGCGCGCGCGACGCGTCGACGCGCGCGTCGGCCGTCGCGTCGCGCATCCTCGTCGCGCACGAATGCCATCCACGCGCGTCGCGCGCGCGTCCGTCGCGCGCACCGCGACGCGACCGGCGCGCATGGTTCGTCGTCCACGAGCGCGACGGGCGCGGTGTGGCGTTCGCGGCGCGCGCGCGCGGGACGGGGTCGAGGCGCGCGGGACGTCGGGCATCCCTTGAACCTAACTAAACCCTAACCCTAAACCCTGAAACGCCACGCGCGCGACCGCGCGCGACCCATCGCGTCAAACGCCGACGACCGCCATGCTCGCCGCCGCGCCTCGATGTGTTCCCGCGCGCGCGCGTGGGCGCGTCGCCCGCGACGGTCGACGACGCGCCTGGTCGACGACACGCGCGTCGACGACGCCATGCGCCAAGGGCAAGGGTGCGCCCGCGGACGCGAGCTCGAACGACGTCGACCCCGAAGAGATCGAACTGGACGCCATGGAACGCATGGAGAAGACCATGGACGCGATCGCGAACGATTTCTCCACCGTGCGCACGGGAAGAGCGAACGCGAGCGTGTTGGATCGCATCGAGGTTGATTACTACGGCGCGGCGACGCCGCTGAAGACGATCGCGAACGCGTCGACGCCGGACGCGCAAACGATCGTGATTCAACCGTTCGATAAGGGTGCGATTAAAGATATTGAACGAGCGATCAATGAGAGCGATCTCGGGATGACGCCGTCGAACGATGGGAACGTGATTCGCTTGAACGTACCGACGCTCACGGAGGAGCGAAGGAAAGAGTTGGCCAAGCTCGTGAGCAAACTCGGGGAGGACGGGAAGGTGGCGCTGCGAAACGTTCGTCGGGACGCGATGAAGGCGTATGAAAAATTGGAGAAGGACAACGCGTTGGGTGAGGATGAGATTGCGAAATTGAAAAAGTCGATGGAGGACCTCACGAGCGCGTACGTGAAAAAAGTGGACGAGGCCACCGCGGCGAAATCCGCCGAGCTCTCCAAGGTTTAGATCGAGCTCGATCGCGCGACGCGATGGCGACGAACGAACCGCTCGTCCATCGCTCGCACGTCGCTCGCACGTTTTGTTATGTTCATCGTACGCGCGTACGTCCGCCCGCCGCCGCCGCCTCGCGCCCGCCGTCCCCCACACCCTCGCGCGTCCGTGGACATGTCGGCCGACCCCGCGAGCGAGGTCGCGCGCGCCGAGGGCGCGGAGAAGCTTCCCGCCATGTTTTGGGACGGCGACGGCGACGCGTGGATGGATGAATCCTCGGAAGATTTCCAGGCGCTCCGAGCGCTGCTCGAGGACCAAAACGCAGAGAAAACCCCTCGCGAACGCGCCGAGCTGTGCAAGGACAAGGGAAACTCGAGCGTGAAGTACGGCAAGGCGAATCCGCTGTACGCGCGGTACGCGGTGGAGCATTACACGATGGGATTGGCGAGCGGATGCGAGGACGAGGACGTGCGAGGCGCGTTGCTCGCGAACCGAGCGCACGCGGGACTCCTGTTGAAGAATTATCGAAAGGCGCACACCGACGCGGTGGCGGCGACGAAGATCGTGCCCGCGAACGTTAAGGCTTGGTTCAGGGCGGCGAAGGCGGCGTTGGCGCTGGAGGACGCGGAGGAGTGCGCGCGGTGCTGCGTCGGCGGGTTGGAGGTGGAGGGCGATAATCGAGAGTTGAAAGTGATGTTGAGGGAAGCCAAGCGCATGGTTGATAAACGAGAGAAGCAGGCTGTTTTAGACGAGACGGAGAAGGCGCGCGTGCGAGCGTACGTGGAGGCGCTGAAGACGCGAGGATTGAGATTTGGACCGGCGTCGCTCGGGAGCGGCGAGCGGTTGCCGACGGTGGACGAACGCGCGAACGAGGCAACGTATTGGACGCTCTTTGTGTATCCGGAATCGATGCAAACGGACGTCGTAGAGGCGGCGAGCGAGACGTCGACGATCGGTCAACACTTGGACGTGTTGTTCGATCCGAACGGACCGCCGCTCGAGTGGGATTCCAAGCGCGCGTACGCCAGAGACGCGGTGGAGGTGTACTGGCAGACGAAGGCCGCAGTGCCGTACTCGTGGGAACAAATAGAGACGAAACTGCTTGATGCCGCGGGTGTGACGAAGCGAGCGACGGATGACGACGCGCGACGTGAGATTGAAGCCATGGAGAAGGGCTCGAACAAGGTGGACTCGCGCGACCAGTTCATGCGAAAGCTCGACGAGAACACCAAGCTCGGCGATTTATTCCGCGATGATGACTTCATCATCGCGGGACATCCGGTGTTTTACATCATCGCCAAGGGTACGGAGTTCAGGCAGCAGTTCCTCGACGGCGAGTGGGAACTGTAGTCGAAGCCACGAAAGCGACGACTCTCAAACGACTAGGCACGCTTGGTTTGTACAAAGCTAATACGTAATACATCCGGATAAAATTCTACACGACCGCTCGCTCGACGCCACGATCGTTTTAGACCCATTAATCCGCGCCACAGCATCGTTTGAACTTTTTCATCGACCCGCAAGGACACGGTCGATTAGACGGAAACGCCCCGCGCATCGCTCGCGCCTCTCTCGCGCGCTCCTCCTTCGACATCCCATCGTCCCCAGCCTTCAACGCCTCCGCCAACTCCTCCGGCGACGTCGGCACCCTTCCCATCTCCGCGCATCTCCGAGCGATCGCCCTCGCCAAAGCGTGCGTCTTGAACAACTCATCCACCCGCGCGCGGTCGCCGAGCTCTCTCCTGCGCGCCAGCGGCGTCCCGCCCGGGTCCACTCTCTCGTCGTCGCGCATCTTTCGCACTATTTCCTTCGCTTCCGCGATGGGAAACGATATCTCCGCCGCGTGCGCCCTCGGTGCCGACGTTTCTTCGCTCGACGGCGCGCCACGCTCCGTCTCCGCGCGCTCGAGCAAATTCACGAAATCCTCCAGCGACAAGTCTTTCGACGCCAACGGGTTCGTCGACGCCCCCGTGACCCCACCGAGCCACGCTCGAACGGCATCCATAGTCGAGTACGCCCTCGTCGCGCGCGCGCGCGCGCGAAGGCCCCGCACCGTCGACGCGAGACGAAGCATGCGCGCCGCGCACTCGAGTCAAAACCTCACTGATTGACGGTTCGTCTTCCATGCGACGCCTCGCGCGCGTCCTGCGGCCCGCGCGCGCGACGACGCGACGCGCGTCGTCGTCTTTGGCGTCCTCTTCGATCGCGAGCGCGGACGATGACGTAGACGATGACGTAGACGTCGACAAAGAGCGCGTGTTCGTGGAGACGTACGGATGTCAAATGAACGCCAACGACAGCGACGTCGTGCGCGCGTTGCTCGTCGAGGCGAAACACGCGATCGCGTCGAGCGCATCGGACGCCACGGTGGTTCTGGTGAACACGTGCGCGATTCGGGAGAACGCGGAGTCGCGGGTGTGGACGCGGTTGCGGCAACTTCGGGCGGAGCGACGCGCGCCGGGTTCGCGTTTGAGAGCGGTGGGGGTCTTAGGATGCATGGCGGAGCGGTTGAAGGGGAAGATTTTGAGTGCAGAAGAGGGTTTGGCCGATATGGTCGTCGGCCCGGACGCGTACAGGGACGTGGTGAGGTTGTTACGCGTCGCGCGCGAAGAGTCGGATCGAAGGCGTCAAAGAGAGACGCGAGCGAATACGCTAGATGACGAGGATAGGATGAACGTCATGTTGAGTCTGGATGAAACGTACGCCGATGTTTTCCCATTAAGGGCCGACCCGATGTCGCCGCAGGCGTACGTGAGCGTCACTCGAGGGTGCGATAACATGTGCGCGTTTTGCGTCGTTCCGTTCACCAGAGGACGCGAGCGATCGAGACCGTTCGAGTCGGTGCTCGAAGAGTGTCGTAAGCTGATCGATCAGGGTGTGAAGGAGATTACGTTGTTGGGACAAAACGTGAACTCGTACGCGGACGCGTCGGAGGTCGGGACGTCGGCGAAGACGGACGCGGATGCGCCGTTCGGCGCGTACGCCAAAGGGTTCACGAGCGTGTACAAGCCCAAGCGCGTGGGCGCTCGAGCGTTCGCGGATCTCGTCGAAGCCGTTGCCGCGATCGACGTCGAGTGCCGCGTGCGATTCACGTCGCCACACCCGAAGGATTTTCCCGATGATTTATTGCGTGTCATCGCGAACACGCCAAACGTGTGCAAACAACTCCACATGCCAGCGCAGAGCGGATCGACGTCGACGCTCGAGCGCATGCGGCGCGGGTACACTCGGGAGGCGTATTTGGAGCTCATAGAGCGCGCTCGAGAGATTATTCCCGGGGTGGCGATATCGAGCGATTTTATTAGTGGATTTTGCGGCGAATCGGAGGACGAGCATGCGGAGACGTTGACGCTCTTGGAGACGGTGCGATATGAGCACGCGTACATGTTTCACTACTCGAGACGCGACAAGACGTACGCGGCGAGGCACTTCGACGACGACGTCCCTGAGGAAGTGAAGAAACGTCGTTTAGCCGAGGTCATCGAGACGTTTCGTCGTTGCGCCGCCGACGTGAACGCGCGCGAGGTCGGGTGTACACACCTCGTCTTAATAGAGGGCGCGAGCAAGAAAAATCCTGAGTCGCAAATGAGCGGGCGTTCGGACACGGGCAAGCGCGTCGTTGTGCAAGGGAAGCGGACGAAAGCGAACGCTTTAGACGGCGATAGTGAGGAGGTAGACATTAAATCCGGGGACTACGTCGTTGCGAAAATCGTCGAGGCTGGGGCCTCAACGCTCGTCGCGGAGCCCGTGGGCGTGACGACAGCGAGAGCGTTTTACGAAGCGCACGGCGGCGCGTCGTTCTGAGAAGCAAAGTGATGCTGTTGTAGTAAAATTGAGTTGGTAGCGAAACGTCAGTAAACCACAGTCACGCCCTCAGCTCGAAGGAAATCGACCGCGCGCTGAATCTCATCTATTGTCGGCGTCTTCATGCCGTCCAATTTGTATTCGAGTCCGAGCTCTGCGAATTTATACACGCCGAAGCGATGATAAGGCAGCAACTCGACGCCGCGCACACACCCGTCATGCGATTTCGCGAGCGCCGCGAGGTCGCGCAACTCATCCGCATCGTTCGTTCGATATTTCTGGAATCGCTCATCGTCATCCGTCATGAGCACGAATCGTAACCATGTGTCGATCTTCCTTCGATCGAGCTCGCGCAAAAAGTTTCGCATTGTATCGTATTCATCGGCATCCGTCCCGGTGATGCGATGATACTTTGCCCGATTCGTCGACTTGACGCAAAGAAGGACGATGTCGACGTGCGGTAAAATCTCGTTCCAGACAGTTTCGTTTCCCTCCGCCGCGGTGTCGATCGCTGTCGTCAAACCGAGAGCCTTTGAGCCCGTCGCGAGTGCTTTCACGAAATCCGGTTGTAACAAACACTCGCCCCCGCTCAGGGTCAAACCACCCCCGGACGCCGCGTAGTACTTCCTATTCCGCGCGAGCTTACTCAGAACACCATCCACCGTCATCACCATCCCCTTCGACGCGCTCGCGTTCGTGCTGTCGACGTTGCAGCAAAACGCGCACCGCTTGCGGCATCCTTGGAGAAAAGCAATCAAGCGGATTCCGTGTCCGTCCACCGCGGTGAAACTATCGATCGAGTGCACGCGCCCGACCATCTCGCCCGCGCTCTCGATGTCCTCTGCCCCACCGCGCAAGCCTTTTCGGTCCATCGCCCGCGCTCGCGCGAAGCAAAACGCGCCCGGCATGCGCGCCACCGTGTGGGGACACGTTGGGTGTTGGATGGAGATATTTTCCCACGCGGACTCCTCCGCACACATCAACGCGTCATGTTCGCCGCGTCGCCCGTCGCGCCCGCGCGAGGGGCCGTCGACGCGTTCATAATCGCCAACGTCTCGCCGTTCGCGGGAGATTTCTCGCGCGAACTGGCGGAACCGACGGAGAAAACGTCTCGATTGCTTTCAGAGGCGAGACGCGCGCAGGCGGCGGAACGCGCGGACGGCGGACCGACGGATGCCGTGACGCCCTCGAACGCGCTCTCGCACGGACCGGGATACTTGGTGAGTAAAGGGGTGGATAATGTCGTGGTTGGTTTGCAAACGACGACGGCGCTGTGTCGAACGATGAAGCCTCTCGGTGGCACGCGCGTCATCGAGAAGGCGCTCTCGGAACGAGGCGGATTGACGATGGATCCGACGGTGAAGAAATTCTTTGAAGATTGGGTGACGACGCACAACGACGCGGTGTTCGACTTGTACACGGATGAGATGCGACGCGCGAGACGGGCGCACTTGCTGCTCGGATTACCGGACGCGTACGGTCGAGGACGGTTGATCGGCGACTATCGAAGAGTCGCGCTGTTCGGAGTCGACACGCTGATCGAGGGGAAGAGACGCGACAAGAATCGGATTGGGGTCGATTCTGAGGACGAATTGAAGCTGCGATTTGAAGTGTCCGAACAGATTCGATCGCTTGAGCGTCTGAAGGCGATGGCGAAGATGTATGGATTCGACATTGGACGCGCCGCCGAGAACGCCTCGGAAGCGATCCAATGGGTCTACTTTGCTTACCTCGCCTGCGTCAAAGAGAACGACGGCGCCGCCATCTCTCTCGGTCGCGTCGACGCATTCTTTGACGTTTACATCGAACGCGATCTCAAATCGGGTGTCTTGGACGAAAGCGGCGCGCAGGAGCTGATCGACAACTTCGTTTTAAAGTTACGCTTGGTCAGACATTTGCGGCCGAAGTCGTACGATGCGATTTTCGCCGGGGATCCAATCTGGGCCACGTGTTGCCTTGGAGGAATGCGCTTGAACGGCCACGAGCCACTCGTGACGAAGACATCGTGGAGATTTCTGCAAACGCTTGCCAATATGTCGCCCGCACCAGAGCCGAACATGACCGTCCTCTGGTCCGATCGTTTGCCCGAATCGTTCAAGAAGTTTGCGTGCGCGATAAGTATCGCGAGCAGCTCCATCCAGTTCATCTCTGACGATCTCTTGCGCGAAGCGTTTCAATCGAGCGATGTCGGAATATCGTGTTGCGTCTCCGGCATGGAGCTCGGACACACGATGCAGTACTTTGGCGCGCGGTGCAACCTTCCAAAGCTTTTATGCTACGCCATCAATGGCGGCCGGGATGAGATTACTGGCGACCGAGTCGCGCCACCGCTCTTCCACGACATTCCAGATGGCGTGCTCGATTACAATGACGTTACGAAACGATTCTACGCCTACTTGGAATGGCTCGCCGAGCTTTACGTCAAGACGATGAACGTCATTCACTTTTCACACGATCGGTTTGCTTACGAAAGTCTCTTCTTCGCTCTGATGGACACCGAATGCGAACGTCTCATGGCTTTCGGAATCGCCGGTCTCTCCGTCATCGCTGATTCGTTGAGCGCCATCAAGTACGCCAAAGTCGAGGTGATTCGAGATGAGCAGACTGGCCTGTCCGTGGGATTCGATATCGACGGCGAGTTTCCGACTTTTGGCAACGATGACGATCGCGTCGACGAAATCGCTGCGGAGGTTGTCGAACGATTCATCGGATTTCTTCGAAACACGCCGGCGCATCGCGGCTCGACGCATACACTCAGCATTTTGACGATAACGTCGAACGTGATGTACGGCGAGGCGACGGGGGCGACGCCGGACGGTCGGGAAAAGGGCGTCGCCTTTGCTCCGGGCGCGAATCCGATGCACAATCGCGATCGATCCGGCGCTCTGTGTTCTCTCAACTCCGTTGCCAAGGTTCCGTACGCAGCGTGTCGCGACGGTATCTCAAACACATTTTCGATCGCGGCGCCGAGTCTCGGGAAAACGAAGAAGTCTCAAGTCTTGAATCTCATCGCGATGCTCGATGGATACTTTGATCGCGGCGCTCAACATCTCAACGTGAACTGTGTCGATCGTTCCGTCTTGGTTGATGCCATGGCGCATCCGGACAAGTATCCAACTCTCACAATCCGCGTCTCGGGATACGCGGTGAACTTCATTCGTCTTTCTCGGGCGCATCAGGAGGAAGTGATTGCTCGAACGTTTCACGACACGCTTTAGTACCGGTAGACGATGCGAACACATTAAAATGTTCATCACACATTAATTCATTTTAGCCAAATAACAGCGCGCCCGCGAACTCTTCGTTGCCTCCTGTGGATTCGAGGGCGTTGATGACTTCTTGACGTCCGAAACCGAGCGCCATCAAGCGAGAAATCTTTTCCTCGTCCGGCCTGGAGGTCGTCGCGCTTGACGGCGCTTGCTCGCCCGAGTCGTTCGCTGGAGCCGGAGACTTGGCGACCGTATCTCCCGCGTCTCCACCGTTGGAAAACACTCCCATCTGTTTCCCAACCTCGGCCTCGCTCAAGAACGGCAACTCCGTGCCCGTGGAGCCGATGACGAGGACATTTCGCTTCAAATCGATCGAGCACGCGTGTCTGCGAAGCATGTCCAACCCAAAAATGAAATCGATATCGTTCTCCTTCTCCAAAACCGTGATCGCGATCGGCACGAACTGCTCAGCAACCTTGAGCGGGGCTTGGTGAACGCGTCCGATGATCTTCTGCACGCCCACACCCCTGGCCTCTCCCGCGAAGTTGTTATCAATCAAACGCTCGAGTCCACACCTCCGCGCGCACGTCACCGACATGATGGACATCTGCGCTCCGCTGTCGACGAAAGCCTTGAGCGCCACTCCGTTCACCTCGACGTCGACGTACAGCATGAACACCTGCCCGAACGCCTCCGGCGTCTCCTCTATCGCTCGTTCCATGTTATGCTGCACGTTTTCCCGCCGAATAGCCTCTTCGATTTTCCGCTGCGCCTCCACATCGAAAGGATCCGCCGACGCCAACGCCGCGTACTCTTCATACGCCCGCTTCCTCGCCTCCGTCGCGGACGTCACCTCACGCATCATCCTCTGAAACTCCGTCGCATCGTTTCGATCGACGGCAGCCGCCAGACCCGGGTGCATGGCGCGTATTCGTTCCATCATCCCCGCGTTCCCTCTCAGTTCCGCCATCTGGCCCTCCACGCTCACCCCCACGCCGCTCCCGCTCCCGCCCCCCCCAGCGTCGCTCTCCAGCACCAACACATCATTCTCCCCTATCCCAGCGCTCTCCAACGTTCGATCGAGTCCACCCTCGATCACCCGTCCCTCTCGAACGAATCGTCCACGCGTCGCCAACCGTTCCACCATCGCCGCGTCGCCGATCTCGCACAGCACCGCGGCGCGTAGATCTCCCAGCGCGCACTCCTCGTGCACGTCCACGGTGATCAACGCGTCGTTCGCCGACGGCACCGCCACGGTCACGCGCATGTTCGCGAGCGCGCGAATGACGAATCGATCCGAATGAAACGCGTCGTCGAGCGCCGCGTGGGGCGAAGTGAAGCGTCATTCGCGCGCGATCGACGATCGACGACGACGATCGACGCGTCGTCGTCACGGGTCGACACCGCGCGGGATCAGAAGAAGAAAAATGATGCCGTCGACGCGAGCGGAGGTGGACGCGACGGGAGTGGTGGACGACGGCGACGGTGGCGATGCGTTGGGACGACTGAGACGAGACTTGAGACGCGAACACGGCGCGATGTACGCGAGGATGCGATCGATGTTGGACGAGGACGCGCGCGAGGCGAGGACGAGAAGACGTCTTCGGCGCGCGTTGGTCGAGGAGTTTCCGGAGTTTGATGCGTACGCGATCGATGTGGCGGTGGCGTGGGACGACGCGCGTTGCGCGACGTTGGCGCGCGGTCTCGTCGAGACGCCGACGGCCGAGGTTCCTTTCGGTGAGAGGTCACCGATGACTCGAGCGGCGGAGAAGGGGCTCAAGGAGCGTCTGAAGTTCTTGCACGAGCACGGGTGTGCGTGGCATGAGTGGACGTGCCGGTACGCCGCTGAGAACGGTCATTTGGAGTGTTTGAAGTACGCACACGAGCACGGGTGTGCGTGGGATGCAGTGACGTGCATATGCGCCGCTGGGAACGGTCATTTGGAGTGTTTGAAGTACGCACACGAGCACGGGTGTGCGTGGGATGCAGTGACGTGCATGTGGGCCGCCAGGAGCGGCCATTTGGAGTGTTTGAAGTACGCACACGAGCACGGGTGTGCGTGGGATGCAAAGACGTGCTCACAGGCTGCCAATAACGGTCATTTGGAGTGTTTGAAGTACGCACACGAGCACGGGTGTGCGTGGGATGCGGAGACGTGCATATGCGCCGCTGAGAGCGGTCATTTGGAGTGTTTGAAGTACGCACACGAGCACGGGTGTGCGTGGGATGCACAGACGTGCTCACGGGCTGCCAATAACGGTCATTTGGAGTGTTTGAAGTACGCACACGAGCACGGGTGTGCGTGGGATGCGGAGACGTGCATATGCGCCGCTGAGAGCGGCCATTTGGAGTGTTTGAAGTACGCACACGAGCACGGGTGTGCGTGGGATGCACAGACGTGCATATGCGCTGCCATACGCGGTCATTTGGAGTGTTTGAAGTACGCACACGAGCACGGGTGTGCGTGGGATGCAGTGACGTGCATGTGGGCCGCCAGGAGCGGCCATTTGGAGTGTTTGAAGTACGCACACGAGCACGGGTGTGCGTGGGATGCAAAGACGTGCTCACGGGCTGCCAATAACGGTCATTTGGAGTGTTTGAAGTACGCACACGAGCACGGGTGTGCGTGGGATGAAAGAACGTTGCAACTGAGTTTCGTTCGTAACCATTGGAAATGCGTGTGGTACGCGATCGATCACCAGTGTCCGGGATACAAAAACCACGCTCGCCGTATGGGACATCTCGATTTCCAATGCGCGGAGACCATCTTCGTTGTTGGTCTTGCGCTCTCGCACGCGCGAAACGGCTACATCCCAGAGCGCGAGTATTACGATCTCAGGGCTGCGTTCGACCACATGCGAGAGGAAATAGCCGTAGAACGACTTCGCACTCTGTACCGGGGTACCGACTTGGTCATCCACCGACTACGCGTTGCCTAGATATTCGTCGTAATCTCGCGCAACCACCACGGACGGATGGAACGCATCGCGCGCAAGTGCGAATGATGACTCGGTTAGTGCAATCTCCCGACATATCTCGGCGCGCCAGGCGTCGGCGCGGAGCGTCAAGGGTCGACGAAGCGCACATTGAGCGGTGAGGCGGAGGACAGAATCGGTGACGGCGGTCGCGTGACGGTTCACGGCGACAGTTGGGTCGTCGTTCAGCAACTCGAGTGCCTGAAGAGTGGGTGTTGTGTTCGAGCGAGAGCTAGCACCGAAGACAACGGCGACAGTGGTCTCGCCTCGCCGTTTTAGTTGACGCGCAATCTCAAAGGCGAGTGCCTCGAGTTCGCCTCCGGAGGAGGAGGATGCGACGATCAGAGGACGATGAAAGCGGGCACCGACGGCATCGACGCCGTTCGCGCGTCGTACACTGCGCACGCATCGAGCGGCTATGGACGCACGAATTTCATTCATCGTCGCAATCGCGTCCAGGGCGCGGAGCGGGACATGTACGGCGACGCACGGAAGCGTGGAGGCAAAGCATGCGTGACTCCACGAGTCGACGTCTTGGAGCAAATCGGCGACGATCCAAACCTGCGCTGTGGTGTCGTTGCACTCCCATGCTAGTCGGTTAAGCCCGAACACGGCGCAGTCGAACGAATCGATGGAGTCCACTGCGCGAAGAATGGCATTGTTGGACGAAAGCGAACGCTCATTCATGGAAACATCATCGAGTGAGACGTCGTCCAATTCCGGCGACGCCGACATCCACAATCCCAATCCTTGATGCCATACGCGCGATCTCCATGGCGTTGCCGACGCGTCTATTCTATCGACAGCAATATCCTCCCAAATAGTGTTGAGCGCTCGACGGACGTGCGGCCCGATTGTATCATTCAAATCACCCCCTTCGGCTTCGGACGTCATCAGATTCATGTGCGATCCTCTGCATCGAACAACCTCAACGTGGTCGCAGGCGAGCGCCCAAACGTATCCTCCGACGCTGCGTGAAACTCCATCAACTTCGCCCTTGGTGTCTTTGAACTCGAGCTCGGTCTCGAATAGCGCGGAACTCTCTAGTCCAGCCTTGTAATGTACAACCTTAGCAGCGACGCGAGAGAACGTCTTGGTAGGCTCCACCGCCGCCTCGCCACCACGAAGCATCCACCACGACCCCGAATCGATGGACCCATCCTCCATTTGCTCCATTCCGCTGTTCCATTGCGCGGCATACGGTCCTTTACTGATGTCTTCATCGAGTGTCTTGGCGTTGAATTCACGACCAAGTGCTTGAAAGGCCACAGACTCAAACAGCGCATACTTTTCCTCCCGTGTCATCCCATCCCATCCCGCGGCGACAGTATCAAAGTGGAAGCTCGTTAGGGCGACCTCCATGTATGTTAATCCAGTGCTCTCTTCCTCGTCGATTGCTGCCGGAATGTCATTCCAGTCCGATTTGAACTGCACAGGATGCGGGGCGTCAAAGAGGAAAATTGAAGCCACCTCGCGTCCACACCGTTCGATAGCGAGCGCTGTCTCTATTGCGAGAACACCACCAAGAGAGTGGCCGCCGAGCACGATCGCACCTTCACTCTGTAGTCGCATGATTTCGTCCGCATGATCCAACGATACCTGTGGCCACGGTTGTTCGGTGACATCTCGCTCGAGCGTCCGACACGGATGCGCTCCTAAATTCAGAGCGTTGGTGAGTTTATAGTATGCAAGCGGACCGTCACCAAATGCAGGCGCGCCGAGAAACAATGCGGGCGATCGGTCGTTCGTTTTGAGGGTTTTTATCTGCTTTGCTCTCTCAGTGGCACCAACGGCGAGTTGCGTTGCGCGGAAATCCTTCGGGGAAAAGAAAGTGTCCGTGATGAAAGAGACGATGGCACCCGGTGTCGGTAGTGTCGCTAACGCGCTCATATCAGCGCTACCTTCAATCATTAGTTTACGCTTGAGTGTCGTCGCGAGTTCTATGGCGCCAATAGAGTCGATCCCTCTGGACGCCAAATCACTAGCCGGATCCACATCTTGGCCAAAGATCTCGCGCAAAACACCATAAACGATCGGTCCAACGTCCGTCTTTGCTTTTTGACCTACACCCGGCGGCAGTTTTGACTGGGATGGCGTCGACGGTCCACGACTACTGTAGTAGACCGGTGATGAAGGAGACGGACGCGCAACGTTGCATCCGTGCATTGTTTCGGTGGCGGCCCCATGAACATCATGCCGAGAGAAACTTTCTTTGCTCGCTGCTGTGAATACCATGTTCGCGTCTTCGATTGAATTAGAATGGTACACCGCTGCACCGCACAATGTCTCTCTCGATACGACTGAGAAGGCGTTGAACGATGTGTTGGCGCATCGCAACATCACGACATGTGATCTCTTTTCCACGTACTTAGACCATCGAATCAAGCAACCACGCCCGCCTGGTGCATTCATGGCGGTAAAGCCGAGTTGACACTTCGCACCAATCGCATCCATGCGCATCTCACCAGACAGGCGCATGCGTAAAGTAAAATCAGCGGACGGAAAATCAGTGACGCTTGAATAGACAACGATTTGTTGTGCGGTGTTCCTCCTGAAACCTCGCCGACCGACTCCGTTGCATACTCGAGCGCAGTCGCATGCGAGTCGTGCAAACGTAATACATGTGACATATTCACGAAAGTTTGTGACGCAGACCTCCATGATGTCTCGCATCGGCGACGGGAGACATGTGACGCGGCCGAGAGTGAAACATCCCGTCGGCACAAATGTGGGCCACAATGACTCTCGTTCAAATGCGAACTGGCGGACGGGCAGCGCATCGGTCGCTTTGCGTAAAACTATGTGCGCATTCGTACCCATGAAAGCGAACGCCGAACATCCTGCGATCGTTTCACCGTCACAAGGCATAACAGCTGCTGCCATCTGCCGAGGAGCTCTGAGAATATCCGACAACGCGACATGCGGATTAATCGTTCTAAGACCAACTATCGAGGGAGTCGCGTTGGACGCGAAACAAGCGACAAGGTGAAACATTCCTACCGACCCTGCCGCGGCCTCGGCGTGTGAGACGGCCGATTTGCTCGCTAACAGGTTAATGGTGTCGCCCTGGGAACGCTCATGATAAATATCTTTGAGCGAAGAGCACTCGATGGGATCACCCAACGCTGTCCCAGTCCCGTGCATCGATACGTATCGGACGACGTCTTTCGCACATTGTAGTAACTGCCATGCATCAGCAATCACGCGACGCTGCGCTGGTCCGTTCGGCGCCGTGAGTGCAGAGCTTCGACCATCTTGAGCGCAGGCGCCGCCGAGGACGACAAATGCGACACATCCTCGAGAGTCTCTCGCGAGCACCACGCACGCAACCGCTTCACCTCGACCGTAACCGTCTGCTGTCGCATCAATTGCTTTGCATCGCCCATCTGAAGCGAGCATACCGGCTGCGCGAGCAGCATCGCACGTTTTTCGCGTCAAAATGAAATTAATGCCGACACATGCATGTGCGGAAGCTCTTGCTTCGTCCATGAGAGCTAGATGCACTGTTACTAGACTTGCTGAGCACGCTGTGTCCACGGCCAGGGATGATTCAGTGAAGCCGAAAATGTAGCTAACGCGACCCGCGCAGACAGATAGTGCGCGTCCAGTCGCTGCGTGCGAGCCAAGTTCGCCGCTGACATCGAGCAGCGCGTACTCAAAGTGCTGAATACCGACGTATACCCCGACTGCACTATCGCTAAGGTCGCCCGGACGGCATGCACACACTCTTTCAAGTACGCCACGTTGCTGAGGATCCATCGCCATCGCTTCCGGTGCCGATACGGAGAAGACCGCACGATCAAAAGTATCGATGTCAGAGAGACATGCCGCAAAGCGAACAGGAAGCTCCAAACCGAGTGATTCGTCGATGTTCCATCTCCAAAGTGGAATGCACGTTGTTCCGATGGACCTATCGCTGATGAGCGCTGAGTCATTGTCATCACCGGTGAAAACACGTCCAGATCTCGAGTGCGCATACAGATGTGATTGTTTCTCCCGATGAGCAAATTTGAGCGAGTTGATCGCACTATCGCAGGCATTATTTTCTGCATTCTTATTGAGTGTGCACGAGACGAACGCCGCCATAGCATCTATGGATGGATAGTCGAACGCCAACGTAGACGGTACAACCACGTCAAACTTGCGCTCAACGGCGGAGAGCAGTTCAACGCTCGACACCGAGTCCAGTCCCGCCGCCATCATTGGCGCAGTCCGAGGTAAAGGTGAACCAACCAGCTCGGCCACGATTCGTTCAATCACTTTCGCGCACACTTCAGGCGTCATAGATACATTTGTACCCTCTGTAAGCGGTCCGACGTCGTGTTTTTTGCGCTTCATCACGTTCAACGGTGACACAACGAACATTGCCGGTGTTGCTGCGCCGAGCATGATTTTACGGAGCACATCCAAACCTGCATCGAGCGATAGCATGGCTATTCCATACGTAGCCAAGTCGCGCGCCATATCTACGTTGCAGCTCGCCATTCCAATCGCCTGAAACGCACCCCATCTCACGCTCGTCACGAGATCTCCTCGCTCCTGCGATCGTTCAGCAAATGTGTCCAACGCTGTGTTGGCACTCGCATAATTTGCCTGTGCAAAGGGTGCCACAAGAGCGGCGATCGAACTAAATAGCACACTCCTGCATGGTGATTCGCTCTTGTGCGCATTTGTCGATGCCACGATCTTCGGTGCAAACACCCGCGCGATGCCATGAGTTCTTTGGTTCTGTAGTGTGGCATCTGCAAGCACGCCTCCACTGTGAAGCGCTAGGCGAGGCGACACCTGAGAGACAAACGCGTCTTCACGAAGAGAGTGGTCGCACCGTAAGACTTCCATAGAGTAGCTGTTAGGGCGAGTGTCCCATGATCTTCCCACGCGCGAACAGGCGATGACATCTCCAAGTAGCCTTCTACAAATTATTCTTCCAAGTGCTCCGGTACCACCGAGGACAAGCGCCTGAACAGGCGCCGATCTCTCGCTGGATACGTCGTCGATTTTTAGATATCGTAATTGACTCTGAACGCTTTGTCTGTTGCCGATACCGCCACTTCGAAAGATCACTTCTAACTCACAACCGATCAAGTGGTCGTGACGTGTAGAAGAGAATGACGTTTGCGCCAACATCATCGCCGTCGAAGCCGATCGCACGCTGACCGGTCGCACGCTGACCGGTCGCACGCTCGGTAGACTCGAGTCAATGACAGAGTAGGTGATTCTTCCTTTGATGCATTGAACGTTTCGTCTTCGCCTGCAACCGTCGCGTTGGACACCAATCGCTAAGAACGTCATTGAACCGTCAGACCGATGTCGCTCCGTCACCCCACGGCAAGTCTCCGAGCTGAAGAATCCATCGGATCGCATAGAGCTGCGACGCACTGCCAGGCATTTGCACGCGATTGGCAGTCCAAAAGCCGCGCCGCTCTTCGAGGTGAGAGCGTACGACATTTGTGTTTCGTAAGAGATAACAAACGAAACAGCCACTGGCGATGCCTTACCGAGTCCTTGCGCTCGAGCGACGCATCCAAAAGACGAACGGATGATGTCCTTGTCAACCGTGATCTGTGCGTATTCGGTACCGTCGTCACACCCAGCAACATAATCGGAAACCACAACGACATCGTCGTCCAGAGCGCGTTCGACTGCGCGCGAAAGGACGAATGGAAAAGACATACAGCCCACGCTTACGTCAAACATCATGCGAGCGCCGCGTGAGCACGTAACTGATCGTACTTCTGGCGCACGCGTTGGCCAGTATCGTCGTGCGTGCGTAATTGCATACATATCATTCTCCATCACGGCCATCTCATTGTCCGAAGGAGCGACCACGATTGCGGAGTTGGTACCCTGGAATGCAAAAGCGCTGACATGGGCGTTCACATCCAAAACGACTGGAACAGGAATCCTTGGGGCGACCGCGTTCGCCAATCGCACGTGTTTATTCAGTCGCCGGAGGTGGCAGATTCCACATGCAATCGAACTTCGTAGACTGTGCTCGATGGCAAAGACGATAGCGACGGCACCAGCCGCTGGCTCCGCGTGGCCACAGTGGGACTTTGATGCCTGCAGCACGAGCGGATCACGTGAGTGAACGAGGGCGCGAATCGCCGCATTTATCTCAATGGGATCACCTAGCGCGGTCCCAGTGCCATGAGTGTGTAATACTTTGCCATCGCGGTCACGATTCAGCGACGCGCACAAGTTCGTTGCGAGTTTGATGACCTCTTCCTGAGAAGAACCGCTCGGCGCGGTGAGAGAGCTTGATCGTCCATCTTGATTCACCGCAGCACCAGCTAGGACGGCCACCGCGCTCGCGTCTTTGGTACTAGCCGCGAATACGAGTAGTTCGACGCCTTCGCTTCGTCCGTATCCATCTGCAGCCTCGTCAAACGAGCGACAACGACCGGCCGGGCTGAGCATCCCGGCGCCGCCCAGGACGCGGTGCATATCATCTGTGAGCACCAGAGAGGCCCCTGCGACGTAAGCTCTCGAAATCACATTGGACTCGAATCCAGCCAACGATATCGAAACCGCACACAAAGACGAAGAGCAAGCTGTATCGATGCTCAGAGCTGGTCCGTTGATCGCGAAGACGAAGGATATGCGCCCGCTAACGACGGAAGTCTCGTTTCCGACGCCATGAAAAGCACCGCGTTCTAAACCCAGACCTTCCAGAAGACGAGAATAATCTTTACCAGCGCATCCTACGTACACACCACACTGTCCATGGGTGTCAACAGAATACTTGAGCGCCGCGACGCACTTAGCCGTGGCATCTATGAGCAGACGCTGCCTTGGGTCTAAATGCAGCAACTCGCTTGAGCTCGTAGGACCAATCACGCACGCATCAAACGCGACGAGACGCTCGTACGATAACGTGAACCCGCAAAAGGCGCTTGGTGCTCCTAAAAATATTGCCGCTTCACGTTCGGGGTCGATTCGTTGCACTGTGTCTCTGTCGAGAGCTCTTCTGCTCATCTCACCAGCTTGCGAAACGATTCGCGGAGCAGCGAATGCCCGCTGACGCACGTTGCTACCAGGCGTACGTTGCGATGTGACAACTTTCGCGCATGGCTGGTCGTGAACGTCGAAACGCAATCGCGTTATTTCACGAGATGCAGATGCGATGGTGGGATGATCGAACAACACTGTAGAGGGAAGATCCACGTCGAACATCGAGCTCGCAGCGCTCGTCAAATCCATCGCCGAAAGTGAATCGATCCCCGCTTGCATGAGCGGAGCGTCTCGATCAACGACGCGACCAAGTGCTGCAGCAACCGCCGAAGATAATTTTCTTTCTACATCAATGTCTCTGATGGCGAGATCTTCTTTAACGATGTACTTCTTTGACGGTTGCGTCATTCGTGTCGGCGCCGAAGCTGATCGATGCTCAAATAAGAGTTGGTTCTTCAGATGCACTGCGTTCGCGGCGAGAGTTCGGAGACTCAGTGCGGCAACGCAGGTTACCGCGCGTTGAAGTGAAGCGCGGAGTACCGATGCGCCTTCGTCAGCGCTCAAAGCGGCCATACCCATCTCTCGTAATCGACGTAGAGTATCAGAGTGTCGCACCGCCATTCCCCCTTCTGCCCAGGGCCCGAACTGAATGCTCACCTCATCCACTCCCAATCGTCTTCGTGATCGGGCTATGAAATCCATGGCGCCGTTCGCTGCGGCGTAATTGAATTGTCCGGCCGATCCGAGAAGAGATGCAACGCTAGAGAAGTACACGGCTGTGGATTTATGTGCATTTGCGCTGAATTTCAGAGCGGATTCTGTTTTCGGCGCAAACACGATTCGAAACGACCTCGCCGTAAGTCGAGATATTAATCCATCCGCCAGTGCACCGGCAACGAATATGTTACGACTATCTTCGATAGTCCTTTGCGGCGTGCGAGTCGCCGCGTCCCGCGAAGTAGCACGAATGAGTCGCGGCAAGATCATCGATTCGCTAGCCATGTTGAAATTCCCCCTACCCAACCGTCCGCTCATGAGAACGGTGGACGAGCGGATGATGAGAGTCGTTTTCGTAGTGACCAGTCCAAGTGATCCAAATGCGCCGATGACGTGCGTCTCTTTCGAGTGCGTCGACTTCGTTCGTATGCATTCACTCAGCCTCTGCGCTCGCTTGCGAAGCGGCCGTTCAACCTCAAGCCGTTCAACATGGGCGTATGATTCGTGCACGCGCGATTCAGAAGCGTCGATCGCGGAACCAAACTCGCTCGCTGCAGATTTTACTGCGCCGAGTGTGTGATCGATATGCACCCCGGCCACCTGAACGTCGGTGTCTTGTGCGCGACATCGGCTGAAGCATTGGGCGCAGGAAACGGCCACTCGCGAATAATCGGCAGTGCTGACGCCAAAGTACTTCTCTGGCGGATGAGACTCGGCGCATCGCTTCGTGAAGTAGCGAGTGGCTGATAACGTAGACGTAGTTGATCGCGAGTTCAGCGTTTTCGCTCGCAAGCGCTGTATGCACGACCAATTGGAGATATTTTCGGAAACCATGGCGTGGCTCGACGAAGTCAAACTCGAAGCATGCGCCCACGCACACGCGCGGGCAACGTCTGATATCCCACCGAAGCACGCCTCCGCGCCAATGGGAATCGCAAGTGGTGTCTCGACATCCATCGGCGCAGCGAGTTGCATGATTCCATCCATAGCGGCGATCTGACCAACCACACATTTGACATCGGCAATAACTGCGATTCGCGATCTCAAGCCTCGCCGAATATTCCGCAACACGCGAAAATATGGACCATAATCAAGTCCTCTTCGACGCAAAGCTTCATACACTGTTTCTGGATCGACCGGCGTGGCGTGAACCGCTCGTGCTCGCTCGTGTGTGATAACGAGAGTTTCGTCCATATTATTGGCGTTACGCTGACACGGAACCGCGGCACGGAGGTACGCCTTAAAGCGTGTTCGAGAGCGCGCGACGAGCGCACACGAGCCATCCAGTCTGCGAACGACGAGCTCGTAAGACGTTGATTCCTTAACGATTTCCAGCGATGAAGGAATCGTCGCGCTAGCGCATAGAGTCGCGCAGTCTGCGCATGCCAAGCCTGAGCACAACGCCGCGTGCAACATGCCAGCTGCAGGGAACAATATTTTTCCGCTCACACGATGATCCTCGACGCCGGCGACCACGCGCACGTCGCCGACGAAACGCATGTCGCGGCCGATGGTGAGATGGACGCGCGGAACCGACTGAAACGTTCGTGGTTCACACCAAGCTCGTCGCGCGTTAAGCGTCTGCCAGCAATCGAGCTTTACAGCGGCGTCTTCTTGCGAATTGAAATCCACTCCAACGTGAGCGTTGGACCCTTGAAACGCAAATGAACTTGTTCCACATCGCGTGCACTCGCGACTTGACGGCACGCGAGCGACGTACATCCAGCGTGCACTCGTGACGACGTAGGGATTAAAGTGCGCCAAATTCCGCATGCCGATTGCGCATCTCGTTGCGAGCTCTGATAGGAGATGTGTCATCGCGACCACTCCGCTTGCGGGCTCGCCGTGACCAAACCAGCTCTTCGAGGCGTCGAGGTCGATCGAGGACGTTTCACCCGCGAGTGCGGAGAGAGCACTGATTTCGATGGGATCACCAAGAGGCGTTCCGGTGCCGTGCAAATGGAGGAAGAAGCAAGCGCCTCGCGGGTCGTGTTGACACATCGCGATTACATCGCGTTGCGACGGACCGTTGGGAGCCGTGAGGGCGCTTGAGCGACCGTCCTGATTAATCGCACTCGACCGAAGATTCACACCCGCGCACTTATTCACGAGCTCCATGCGAATGAAACGACACGCCTCTGCCCGGACGTACCCGTCCGCCGACGCATCTAAGGTCTGGCATCTCCCACTCGGCGATAACATCCCGGCGCGGTTGAACTGCTCGGTGACCCTCGGGTGTAAGATCACGTTCACACCACCCACTAAAGCTGCGCACACGGTGCCCATCAACATCTCCGTTCGACATTGGTGAGCAGATACAAGAGCGGAAGAGCATGCGGTGTCAATGGATGTCGATGGACCTTTGAAGTCATATGCAAAACTGATCCTACCGGATGCAACGGAGCCGAAGGATCCAACCGCATCGTATGTAGACGCACTAAAAATTCCATTTCGGTTGACAAGATCACAGTAGTCACGACTGGCGATGCCGAGAAAAACTGCCAAACCAGATTTGGAAGCATCCACGGCAATCATTGCGGCGCGCAAGGCGAGGCGCTGCTGAGGGTCGATCCTTCGCGCTTCTTCCATGCGCACGCCGAATGCTTCACCGTCGAAGGCGTCGAGATCACGTATGAAGTTCATGAATGATGCCGCGAGTCTCTCGCGCCGCAGGTCGTCGAGGTTCCACTTGTTGTGTGGAATCCTTTGCGTCCCATCCAACATTTCGGCCGGTTTGGCTTCTGAGGCTACGTGCGTGTTGATTAAGACAAATCGATCGTTCACGTCAGTGCGGACAGGCTGTTTGGCAGCACGCGTCAATTGAGAATCACTAGCTTTGGCCCGGAAAGCACCTACGATGAATTCTGCTGCCGCCTTCGGTGTTGGATTATCAAATAGAAATGTTGCCGGAAGCGTTATTGAGAAAGTTCTTGAGAGCTCGCTTGAGAGGTCCATTGAAGAGACAGAGTCCACGCCGGATTCCATGAATGGCATTTCGCTGTCCGAACGCAGTCCTGTAGCCTGTTCAACGCACTCAATAACCCTCTCAAGTGTTTCCAGTCGAAGTGAGTTCATTTCTCGTCGATGTGCTGGCTTCAATTGCACTTCATTCACTGTCGCCGGACGATCCGACTGTTTCACTCTGTTTGTGATTATGTTGAACATCTCGTCGTCTACTCGATGAGTCGACAAAGCGTACGTTTTCCAATTAATCGCCGCAACGCACGTTACTATTGGAGCGTCTAATCGATTCAGAGCACTAGTAGCTACGAGAGCGTCTGTCGGATTCATGTAGGAAACACCGAGTGTACGCATTCGTGATCGGACAACGCTATCGTTACCCATTCCACCGCCCGCCCAGGGTCCGTACTGAATTGACTTTGCATCTAAGCCATAGTACATTCGGTTCCGGCAACGATAGTCCATTAACTCGTTCGCTCCGGCGTACGCTGCTTGACCGAGAGAACCGAGCATGCCGGCTATCGATGTGAACGTGCGATCACGCCAAGTCGGAATAATACCGTCATCAAACATCGTGCGCCCCGCGCATTTCGCCGCCATGACCGATCGAGCATCTCTTACGGTAAAATTTGCTATGACGGCGTCCTTCAGGACTCCGCTCGCTCTCATGATGAATGTGGATGCGATGTGTTCCGAGGCAATCGTCGAACACAGCGATATGTGCAGCTCCTTTTCGCAATCTAACGATAAGATTACTCGAGCACGACCGGTCGTCGATGTCCAAGCGACGCGATGATACTCGCTTGAACTGAAATAGTTCGTCATCGCCTGCCCGAGCGCGCCAGCTCCACCGATGATACACACCTGTGCGTATTCGTCCCGTTCTGAACGAACAAGTGACGCAAAGTCTCTTCGTGATGAATCATGATGATGTGATGTTCGAGCGATACATCGCGCATATGCTGTCGAAACTCGCACTTCACTAGCCGTACGCGTCTCCATCGCCGCAGATCGCATCGAAGCAACAATCCCAAAGCTGTGACAACGTGGTGTGAGAAGTGCAGAGTCGAATGGTGTTGTCGTTTGCATGGCGGCCACGATACCACGCTCATCTCGCACATCAACATACTGAAATTGGGCATCTGGGCGCGACGAAATCCGTCGAGCGGCCGTGAGTACGTAAGTTCCTGTTAATGCATCTGTCTGTGACTTTGGCGGTCGAATGGCCGTGGTTCGCAATCCGCGAACGCTTGAGCCACGAGAGGTGTGTTCGCTCGTAACGACAGAAGGTACGAGAGCAACACCTCGTGATTCAATGCGGGACATGTGAACGAATGCATCTACTGATGATGGAATGCGAAGCAAATTCGCTTCACGTTCCCACGTCGCTGACAGAAAGTGAAACGATGAATCCAATTCTGCCCAGGCCTTGGATTCTTCTAGAAAATTCGACGATGGGCTGATATTTCCCACGACGACGACGTGCGCTTCGGAGATGTCTGGATATTTCCATTTAAGCGATGGTGAAGTTGTGATACATCGCATCTTGGAAATTTGGGCTTTTGCGAACATAACCGCCCGTGCGCTCAAGGAAGTGAATTCTGCTCTACCGAGGCGAAAGGCGATGGACAAAGACGTGTTCTCGTCTGTTGTCAGGGCCAGTGGAGCGCAAAACGCAACGCAGTCAACGGTAAACCTGCACACGCTCATATACGTGAGCAGTCCGGCACATTGAGCAGTGATGCAAAGGTACGCCGCGCCTGGAAGCACAGGCCTGTCACGAACGCGATGATCAAACATCGACGTGCCCGGCGTTAATTGCACCTCGTGGGTTTCTCGGGACCTCAAATATGTCGAGGCGCGAACGCATGCTGGAGCGATGACAAGTGGTAGTGTCCTATGATGTGCGTGCCGAACCACGCTCCGTTTACAGGTGTAAAACGCCGATCGATGCCCGTCGATTAAACTTATGATTGTCGAAGCGCAAGCATTGGTCCCTTGAAATGCAAAGGCGCTCGCGCCCGATGCTCGAATGTCCGAAATCGCACAGCTCGTTCGCGCCGCTATGTTTGATTTTTCGGCGAGTGCTCGCTCGAGGTACGTGTTGGCGCGTCGCAGATGCAGCATATGCGCAGCACATTTGGCGCTGAGGACAGACGCCGCGCCGATCAATCCGATCAATCCCGCGGGCGACTCAGAGTGTGCACATGATGTCTTCGTAGCCACAAGGACGACGATCGGAACATCGTCGTCTCGAGCGTCATTCATCGCACCAATTTCTATCGGATCCCCAAGGGCGGTGCCCGTACCGTGTAAACTCGAGATTGTTCGAGAAACTCCCGACTTTGCCGCAGATGCTCGAATCACCCGCGCTTGCGCTGGTCCGTTTGGCGCTGTGAGCGATGAGCTCCGACCGTCTTGATTCACCGCGCTCCCGTCGACAGCAACGACACCGATATTCGTCATCGTGGAATCGCGCACGATAACAACAACTGCGCACGCTTCGGCACGAGCGTATCCGTCCGCACTTGCATCCAATGTCTTGCATCGACCGTCCGCCGCCAACATCCCCGCTTGCGCAAACATGAAGCTCGAATTCGCATCCAAAAGTGAGTTTACGCTGCCGATGATACGGATCGTTGATGATTTATCTTCGTGTGCGAAGTGCGTGGCGCAAAGTCCAGAGGAACAAGCTGTATCAATAGAAAGTGACGGTCCCGAAAGATCAAGTGTGTAAGAGATCCGGCCAGCGATGACTGAGATGAACGCACATCCAGTGGATACGAAGGGGCTCTCGAACACACCGGCGTCAATAACGAGGGACTTGTAATCATTTGTTGCGGCACCGATAAATACGCCGCACGTGAGTGACTGCGCATCGACGCATGGTCTTGTGCGAAGCGCCTCAGCTGCGTGACGTAGTGTCAAGCGCTGCTGCGGATCCATCACGGCAATTTCGTTAAGTTTTAATCCGAATGCGTCTCCATCGAAACTGTGCCAGTCGTTGCCGAAGTAGATTCCAGCAAAACGCGGTACTTGTATGCATCTCTCAACATCCCAGCGTTCTCGAGTGATGGTAGACACACGGTCGTCGGCGCGCCACGGAATAGCCCCTATGCCTCGATTGAGCGCCCGACAACCAGGAACATCGGAAGACGCTGTGATGATGACATCGGTCATGCTTTTACCGGCACGCGATTCAACGCTCGGTTCGTGAGTACGCAGCACCGAGACCGCTGATGTATCGAGAGAATCAATGAAAATCGCCAAGGCCTTCGGTGAAGGATAATCAAACACGAGTGTAGCTGGAAGTCGACGATCCAGCGCAGTCTCGAGACTCGTAACAAACTCCACACTTGAGATCGAGTCCATGCCGAGCTCAAAGAACGGTGACTCAACAGTGACTTCACGCCCGAGGACGGACTTCAAAGCGTCGTTGATGGCTCTCTGAACGTCAACTCGCTTGGACAATACGCTCGCACGTCGTGTAGGAGCACTGAAATCGCCAAACGATGATTTCGTAGACTCTTTTGAGTGACCACGGGTCTGCTCGATGACGTTCGCGAAAAATGGCGACGAAGATGAAACAGGATGCTTTGAAACGTATACTTGCCAGTCGAACGCGCTTATGCAAAATTGATGCGCGCTCAGAATTATACGAGAGAAGACTGTTCGCAGCAGTGTCAGTCCACGGTCCGGTGGGAGCAATCCAATACCTGTTCGCATCATTCTATCCTCGACACCGCTCGCCATACCACCGCCAGCGAACGCTCCCCACTGTATCGAGACGGAATTCACACCCGCCGTAGCCGCGGCACCGGCACGGCGATCAAGCGTTGCGTTCGCGGCGCCGTAGACGGTCTGTCCAGTATTTCCAACAAAAGCAGTGGCGCTGGAGAAGTACGTTCGACAACCGATCGGTGCAGAAAGATCCATCCAGTCACGAGCTGTGTTCAGCTTAGGTGCACAAGTCGCGAGCAGCGATCGTGACGTGAGATTTGACCAGCTCGCATCGGCTAATACCCCACTCGCGTACGCCACGTTAGACTGCACCGTAAACGTCTGCGCGATGACGGAATCTTCAAGAGCCGTGGCGTCGAGACGCAGTGCTCTCATGATTGATGCGTAGCTGTTTATATCCAGAGCACTTCTTCCGGAGCGTCCGATCAGTGCGACATGACCGCTGGAGTAGCACTCGGCAAAATCCTTTGCAGCGCGAGCGCCGAGAGCGCCCGTACCACCATACACGAGCAACGAATTAAATGACGCCTGATCCGCAAAGCAAAGTGACAATACTTTCGACTTGAAATGCCGACGTCGATCCAACGTTCGCACACTTTCAATGTAACTATCTACGACGAGAGTTCTTGATGACTGCGTTCCATGTGCTAACGACATAGCTTGGAAAGCGTCTTCATTTGTGATAGAATCGCTTGCCCTGTCAACGCACGCGATGTGTCTGTCCACGCACGCGACGCTAGTTTTTGAGAAGAGTTCGTGTGTGGCACATCTTGAAGCACCAAGAAGCGCGGATGAAAGATCGAACACATTGCAACAAGCCCCTGTCGTGCGCAGAACGACGTCTTCAGAGAGGTATTGCGTGAAAGCGCTCATTCCACGCGTCACAGAATCTTTTGTTCGATATCCATCGTCCACGTTTGATCGTACGCACATACGAATATTTCTAGGGTACTTTGGCGTAGCTGTCAGTCGGGCGGCGGCGTACTTCGTCGCATTTTTGTTCGGTGCCACCGTTCGAAAGAGCGCTCGCGAGCGTGAACCAAACGGTGGTCGAATATCAAGCCGCCGAAGAGATGTTCCGGGAACTATGTGATCATGACACACCCGTTGTCCTCGAACGATGTGTGCGTTTTGCGCAATGGAGCAAGTCGATGATATCGTTCTAGGCTCTCTCCACGCATCGCCGCGTCGTCGATGTGCGCAAAACACAGAGTCCAGTGCCGCGGGCACTCGGGCAGCGCAACCTCCATCGAATTGTAGCACTCCCTCAGCCAGGTGGATCGCGGCATCGAGCACGTATGCGTTCACGTTGACGCTACCGGACTGCTCATCCATCGTATCGCTTGGGCGAGTAAGCCGAGCCAGGAGATGACGCTGTCCAGTGACATTGACGTAGCTGGCGGAGTTTGTCAACGAACGGATCACCACGCGAACACGGTCCACGCGCCCGTACAGGTGCGTCTGCGCTCGACACAGCGGTCCGGAGGTCACAGACACGCGGCCGTCACGTCTAGTGATAACGTTCATGAACACGGCACGCTGCTTTTGATCAGATACCAAACGCATGGCGTGTGGCACGACAATATCACGACCATGGTGCCCGCCATCAGATACGCTCTGCGTGAAACTCTCGAGAAAGAGCTCAATCAAAGACGTCCCTGGGGCGATCGGTTCGCCGTGTATTGCGTGATCGAGTAAGGACGCGCTCGAGGGTACACCGATAATAGTGGCTGTGTACATCACTCGTCCACCCCACGGAGCGATGCCTCCAGTTTTGATCCATGCGTGTGACGCTCGCGTGCACCAACGCGACGCTTGATCGTGTATCGGAGTGATGCTCGACACGGCGACGGTTTTTCCAGGATAAACATTAAGTCGAACAACACAGTGCGCATTCGTGCCCATGAAAGCGAACGCCGAAGCGCTCGCGGACCTCTCCATGCTCATTGCCACGCGTTGACGAGGAATCGCCAACATGAGTTCAGCGTCACAACTTGTCAAATACGGATTGATCGAGCGCACATGCGTCATGGCGACCGATGATTCGAGTTGTATCGCGTCGGCGGCCAGTAGGAGACTCGAAACGCCGCTCGCAGGTTCCGCGTGACCCATAAGCGATTTGTTCGCAAGAACACGAGTGACTACTTCGCTGCGAACGGCATTTCGTAGAGCTGACACTTCGATGGGATCTCCAAGTGCTGTGCCGGTGCCGTGCATTGAAACAACCTCGACGTCACAATCATTCCCATAGGCCGTGATAATCGCGCGAGTCTGCGATGGGCCGTTAGGCGCAGTCAACGTTGAGCTCCGGCCGTCTTGATTCACCGCCACACCCGCCACTATGACGTCTGCTTCAACACGGACGGCTATGAGCATCATGGACGCGTGTTCCGCTCGTACGTAACCATCTGCCGAGCAATCAAGAGTTTTACACCGACCATCGGCCGATAGCATGTTTGCCGCGTTACACGCGAGACTCCAAGTGACATCAAGAGTGAGATTGACGCCACCAGCGACGGCGGACTCGCGTGAAACGTATCCACGCGCGATGGCGACGAGCGAGCTAGAGCAAGCAGTGTCGATGCTTTCTGCGCATCCTGTGAGTGCAAATACGTACGCAATGCGACCTGATGCGACTGAGAGATGCGCTGATGTCGCGTAATACGGTGACAGAGCCTCAGAGCGCGCGATAAAGTGCATGCGTGGATACTCTACCTGCGAGACACCCACATGAACGCTAACGTTTGAGCCAAACTTTGGAAGTGACGCCACTGAGTGCAGTACAAGTCGTTGCTGCGGATCGATGATGCAAGCCTCGGCGATTGACACGTTGAATAGTGTCGAATCGAACATGGCGGCGTTGTGAACGAACGCACCAAATCCACAGAGGAGAGCGCCTTGATTATTCACGTCACACGTGTCCCAGCGCGTCTTCGGAACTGATCGCACCGCATCGCCGCCGATTGGAAATATTCCGTGATCAGCCGAGTCTGGTGCGCAGCCGGCACTCGCGACTAAGAACACGCGCTCGTATTTGCGCTCATTGACCACGGGCTCGTTTATAGGCACGGTTTCCATGGATCTCGAAGAAAAGTGTTTTGATATAAGCCGCAGCGTTGGGTGATCAAAAGCGAGCGTAGTCGGCACATCGATCCCGAGGGCTGTAGCGAGCTTGTGCGCGAGCTGTATCGCGCGCGCCGATGTCAAGCCGACACTCATGAGCGGGGCATCGTCATCTATGTGCTTCTCACCAAGCATGTCCAGAACGACGCTTCGAACGACTGAGACGTTACCGAGGCTGAGTAAAGGCGCATCAGATCTGCAATCGGAACTCACGGATTCAGAGCTGGATTCCTCGAACGGAAGCAGGCATTCTTCGATGAGAGCCGGCAGTAAACCGATCGCGCGCGTATTGTCATGGAAACGAGTCCAGTCTGTCGGTGGGAAGCACGCGATGGACGGCGCTACAGTTGAAGAATCGATTACTCGGCTCACGAACTCAAGCGCCGAGCGAGGAGCCAGAAAGCCCATACCCAAGGAAATCCAATACGTGCGAAATATAGAACCAGATCGCATCGCCATGCCATCTTCGTCCCACGTCCCCCATTGAATCGCGATGACCCGGCGAGGACCATTTTCTGCTAAACGATCTGAAACGACACAAAGCGCGTCTTGAAACGCGTTTGCCGCCGCGTATGCAGTCAAGCATGACTGTCCAATTAAACCAAAAATGGAAGTGGACGTGACGGCGATGAGCGACGAACGCTTGGATAACTCTCGAAACATGTTGAGCGAGCCGATAATTTTGGCCTCGGTGCCGACGACAAAACTTGCGCGTGTCTCGTCCACGGCGAGCCCTTCGCTTAAGACGCCCGCCAAATGCATCGTGATCGCCACCGGCTCCGCGAGCGCAAACACAGCTCTCGCCTGGTCGGCATCGCAGCAATCTGCTGCGGCGATATCTATCACGACCGTACTCGAGCCCTCGTTAGCGGTGCGTCGTAGGTTCTCTATCGTTTCGTCACGTACGGTGCGCCCCGTCAGAATGAAACGACGAATGCCGTATGTGTCGCTGAGAAACTTCAAATGCAACAATCCGAGCGCACCGAGACCACCGATTATGACGCAAGAGGCGCCTTTGATCACGACTGAGCCACCATTGGACGCCGAAAGAGGCAGCTTTGCTCGGACCAGACGCGGTACGGATATGGAGGAGCTGTTGATGACCATCTCACGCTCGGCCAGCGTTCCATCATTTTCAAACATCCGGCTAAACACAACCTTGAGCATTTCAGGAGTCATATCATTGTCTCGCGGGATATCTATCGTGAATAAGTCCAGTGACGGGTGCTCTCGACGAAGAACACGGCAAATACCAATCACCGGGGCGTTGATTACTCGGCCGTTTGGAATGCCTTCGAGTTCGGATTCATCGCTCGCGACGAAAGCATTGGAGGTCAACACGATGACTCTGACGCCGGTGAGCTCGAGTGAATCAATGGCGCGCATGAGCGAAATGACCAGACCGCAAGATAGATACGTTGCCGAAGCAACACTGCGGTCGACGTGGTCCAGTGATACGTCTTCGACGCTCGCAAGACACTCCGCAAGGAGAACAGTGTCTCCGCTCTTGGCTTCGCGCAGGAGTGAGCGATATCGAGACGCGTGCTCAAACCAGTCCTCTGTCACAGCGATCGACGCGCTATCGAACGCTCGAACCTCCACGCCGAGCGACTGAAGTGAATTACGCAATCCTCCCATTGCGCCGACGACGAACCATCGTGAACCGTAGGGTGTCATTCTATCATCGCCGCGAGATTCGACTGGCTTGAGCACGGAAATGTAAGACTCGACTCCGCGAATATCCTCGCTGGTGTCCTTCGATCTCACTTCACATCTCGAAGCCCGCGAAAGAACTGTGGGAAAGAACTGTCGGCGCAGTGTCGATGTATCATGCGCGTGACGACGATACGCTTCGTCGGTGACGATTTTACGCAAGTTCGTCTTCAAAATTTTCCCGCTCGCGTTCATAGGAAACTTTTCCATGATGTGAACCTCAGTTGGACACTTGTATTGACTCAGAAAACCGGTACAGTGCGTTATGATTCTACTCTCCAGTGCCTTCACGTCTCGCATATCTGAGATGCTTCGAAGCGTCACGGCAGCGTGCACGCTCTCCCCCATGATTGGATGTGGAACGCCGAAAACAGCCGCTTGTTGGACCAAGTTGTGTGCGTGCAGAACGCGCTCGACTTCAACGCAGTACACGTTTTCTCCACCACAGAGTATCATGTCCTTCTTTCTGTCTACGATGACAATGAACCCGTCTGGACGCATCACACCTAAATCACCCGTGGAGAACCAGCCGTCGTCGTCAAACGCACGGCGCGTAGCCTCCCGATCGTTCAGGTAACCAGCGAACACGGTTGGTCCTCTGACGCGTACATCACCCACAGTCTTGCCATCGAAGGGAACATGTTCGTTTGGATTGTCAATGCTCGTGATCTTGACGGACATGAGCGAAAACGGGCGCCCGCTGGTGCATATGGAGTCCAGCTGCGACTCCGGTGAGCTCGATTCGCGAAACTCATCTGTGAGAATGCTCATTGAAATCTTACCGCAGCATTCAGTCATGCCGTAAGACACAAAGAATTCGCAACCAAAAAGTGAGATAGCCCGCGCAACTACCGTGGGCGGCAATGGCGATCCGCCGCATGACATCACGCGAAGAGATGACAAGTCGCACACCTCGGCGACTGGGTTGTGCGATAAGATGGTGACCATGGACGAGGCCAGATTGCTCACAGTAATCCGCTCGAAAGCGATGACGCGAAGGAGCGTCGACGCCTCGAACGTCGGTAGAAACACGTGTCTTCCACCCACTTCGGTGATGGAATATATCGCAAACGCATCCACGAGATGGAACATGGGCGCGGCGTGTAACCAAACATCTGAGGCGTTGAGACGCATTTCATTGCTAGTAGCGTGCGCGTGCGTTCGAACAATGTCGTGCGTGAGAATCACTCCCTTCGGATTCCCCGTTGTACCGCTCGTGTAATACAGATGCGCATCCTTCACGCTTGCGAGTTCGCGGTTGTATACCACGAGCGCACGAGTCGGTGATTGATGACTTGCGACGTCCAGCTCCCAGTCAAAATTACGCACCGCTCGCGGATATTTGTTGACATCTGAATCCAGCCAAACCACCGCGTTCCAGTCGGGACGTTCGTGCGAGCGCATGGCCTCTTGGATGGTATCTGCGTGACTCGCTCGAGCAAAAATGAAGCGACAACCCGCATCGCGAACGATGTAAGAGAGCTCGCGCGCCACCAGATGCGTATTCAGATTGAGCAATTTCACTCGCGCCATGGCGCACGCGTGGTGAAGCACGAATACCTCGTGAGAGTTCCTGGAAAGCACCCCGACGACGTGCCCTGGTTCGGCACCGAGAGTGTCACGCATGAATGTGGCGGTATGAACGGCGAGATCGAATAATTCCATGTACGAGAACGCGACAGATCTCTCCAACCGCTGCGAATCGACTATCTCGACCGCAGCCGCGGCGAGGTCTTCGCGTCCGTCTGCGCGCGCGCACGCGATTCGGAGCAACCCGTCCGCAGTGGAACCAGTGTCAAGGAAATGCCACGTCCAATCATCTTCGGCGATCGGTTCGGCGACAGTGACCGAGTCGACCTCGAGAGTCTTCTTAGCACTCACGCTCATTTCCCGCTTTGCATTTTCTGCCCATCGCGCTCCCGACGGTAACCATCGTCGCCATCGTGGTCGATACTCTCGCATCGTTCGCACCGAGTGTCGAGTCGTGACGGCGACGCCGAACTTAGCGTCCTCGATGTTTTCGACGTCGTCACCAATCAAGACGTGCGTCGTCGTCGATTCGTGATTCGCTGATTCAACCGCGTACGCGCGTCCCAGAGATCTAGATCCGCACAACGCTCGAATCGCTCGGATCGCCTCTGCGTGCGCCTCGTCCGCGATGTCTATCGATGCTTTCACGGATTTTGTAGCGGACGTTCGACTGAACAGCACTGGTGCGCACGTTCGTCCCGTCGCGCCGTCGTCGTCGACCTCGTTCGATCGAATCGCTCCGACGTCCGCGCGCGTCGCGCCCACGACATCCATCCCGAGCGCTTTCGCCACGCGACGCGTACGCTCGACGCAGCCATCACGAATGCGCACCGCCAAACGCCGCGCGCGCTCGTCGCCATCGAGCTTCCGTCGGCGACGTTTTCGTCTCGCGTCCACGAAGACGGCTCGCGGAAACCTCTCGCTCGCCCTCTCGCTCGTTCGCACGACGCACGCCGTCTTCTCCGCCACCTCGCTCGTTCGCGACGCACCATCACCGCCGCTCGTCTTTCTCGTCTCGATCTCGCATCGAATCACGACGTCCAGGGCGTCGATCGACATGTCGAAAATCGGAAGCTCGTTCGCGACGGTTGGCGTCGTGCGACCGAATCGAATCGAAAACGAATCGTTCGCTCTTCCGTCGACCGCGTCCGCCGCCGTCTCGCCGACCCGTCGTTGACGAATCGAAATATTTCACGACGCGTCGTCTCTCGCGCGTCGCTCGCCGCCGAGCGCCCGTCGCGCTCTGCGCGCGCGTTCGTCGCCTCGAAAAACACGCGCAACGGGTGACACGAAGAGTCACAATCGCGATGGTTCGTATCCCAGATTCCAATGGTTTGTTGTCATTGAACGACGCTCGGTGCGACCGACGACGACGACGGGCGTCGGTGCGCGCGCATCGATGTCGACGATGGGCGCGAGCGGAGGTGGACGCGTGAACGACGACGACGGCGACGGCGGCGATGCCTTGGGACGACTGAGACGAGACTTGAGACGCGAGCACGGCGCGATGTACGCGAGGTTGCGCTCGATGTTGGACGAGGACGCGCGCGAGGCGAGGACGAGAAGACGTCTTCGGCGCGCGTTGGTCGAGGAGTTTCCGGAGTTTGATGCGTACGCGATCGATGTGGCGGTGGCGTGGGACGACGCGCGTTGCGCGACGTTGGCGCGCGGTCTCGTCGAGACGCCGACGGCCGAGGTTCCTTTCGGTGAGTGGTCACCGATGACTCGAGCGGCGGAGAAGGGGCTCAAGGAGCGTCTGAAGTTCTTGCACGAGCACGGGTGCGCGTGGGATGAAGAGACGTGCCATGCCGCCGCCGAGAGCGGTCATTTGGAGTGTTTGAAGTACGCACACGAGCACGGGTGTGCGTGGAATGAAGAGACGTGCCGGTACGCCGCTGAGAACGGTCATTTGGAGTGTTTGAAGTACGCACACGAGCACGGGTGTGCGTGGGATGCAAAGACGTGCATACGCGCCGCTGGGTACGGTCATTTGGAGTGTTTGAAGTACGCACACGAGCACGGGTGTGCGTGGGATGTATGGACGTGCATATGCGCCGCTGGGAACGGTCATTTGGAGTGTTTGAAGTACGCACACGAGCACGAGTGTGCGTGGGATGTATGGACGTGCATGTGGGCCGCCAGGAGCGGCCATTTGGAGTGTTTGAAGTACGCACACGAGCACGGGTGTGCGTGGGATGAAGAGACGTGCATATGCGCCGTTAGGAACGGCCATTTGGCGTGTTTGAAGTACGCACACGAGCACGGCTGTGTATTGGATAAGCGGACGTGCGAGTGCGCCGCCGCGTACGGTCATTTGGCGTGTCTGAAGTACGCACACGAGCACGGGTGTGCGTGGGATGAAGGGACGTGCATGTGCGCCGCTGGGAACGGTCATTTGGCGTGTTTGAAGTACGCACACGAGCACGGATGTGCGTGGGATGAAGGGACGTGCTGGCGAGCCATCCAATGTGTATACCAACAGAGAGAAGACTGCGTGGAGACTGCGTGGAACTGTTTATCGTACGCGATCGATCACCAGTGCCCCGGATACGTGACGTACGTCACTTTGTTGCGCCTCGAACGCGATGCGCAAGTCGCCGAGACAAGCTTCATCGTCAATCTCGCACTCTCGCACGCTCGAAACGGCTACATCCCAGAGCGCGAGTACGCCGAGCCCAAAGCCGAGCTCGAACGCGCGCGCGCAAAAATAGACAACATGATAGCCCAACTCTTGGCAGATGACTGATGACTGTTTTCAGCGTTTTCACGCGTCGACCGAGCGAAATCCAGCACGCGAACCGTCGCGGGACGATATCTCCCGCCGACGTCCCACCGCGTCCGCGACGCGTCAACGAATCGATCGTTCCTACATCCCACGCGCGCGCGCCGCCGTCGAGACGCGCGCGCGCCGCCGTCGACACGCGTCCGGGCGTCACATTCTCGACCGAGAGGTCGTTTCGACGAACGTCACTGGCCGACGCACCGCGTCGCCGCGCGCGACGCCATGGCGTCGGACGACCGCACGGTCGATGCGTTGATAGAGCGCGCGCACGCGTTTTGCGGCGGCGACGACGACGGCGACGGCGGCGATGCGTTGGGACGACTGAGACGCGAACACGGCGCGATGTACGCGAGGATGCGATCGATGTTGGACGAGGACGCGCGCGAGGCGAGGACGAGAAACCGTCTTCGGCGCGCGTTGATCGAGGAGTTTCCGGAGTTTGATGCGTACGCGATCGATGTGGCGGTGGCGTGGGACGACGCGCGTTGCGCGACGTTGGCGCGCGGTCTCGTCGAGACGCGGACGGCCGAGGTTCCTTTCGGTGACGAGAAGACACCAGTGGATCGAGCGGCGGAGAAGGGGCTCAAGGAGCGTCTGAAGTTCTTGCACGAGCACGGGTGTGCATGGGATGCGGAGACGTGCAGGTTGGCCGCCTTAAACGGGCATTTGGAGTGTTTGAAGTACGCACACGAGCACGGGTGCGCGTGGAATGAAGAGACGTGTGCATACGCCGCTGAGAACGGTCATTTGGAGTGTTTGAAGTACGCACACGAGCACGGGTGTGCATGGGATGCGGAGACGTGCAAATCGGCCGCCGTGAACGGCTATTTGGAGTGTTTAAAGTACGCACACGAGCACGGATGTGCGTGGGATGAGTGGACGTGTGAGTACGCCGCCACACGCGGTCATTTGCAGTGTTTAAAGTACGCACACGAGCACGGGTGTGCATTGGATAAGCGGACGTGCGAGTGCGCCGCCATGAACGGTCATTTGGCGTGTTTGAAGTACGCGCACGAGCACGGGTGTGCGTGGGATGAGTGCACGTGCAAATGGGCCGCCACATTCGGGCATTTGGAGTGTTTGAAGTACGCCCACGAGCACGGATGTGCGTGGGATGCGGAGACGTGCAAATTGGCCGCCGGGAACGGTCATTTGGCGTGTTTGAAGCACGCACACGAGCACAAGTGTGCGTGGGATGCGGAGACGTGCCGGTACGCCGCGACATACGGGCATTTGGAGTGCTTGATGTACGCACACGAGCACGGGTGTGCGTGGGATGCGGAGACGTGCATGTGTGCCGCTGGGAACGGTCATTTGGCGTGTTTGAAGTACGCACACGAGCAAGGATGTGCGTGGGATGAAGGGACGTGCTGGCGAGCCATCCAATGTGTATACCAACAGAGAGAAGACTGCGTGGAGAATGCGTGGAACTGTTTATCGTACGCGGTCGATCACCAGTGCCCCGGATACGTGAAGTACGTCACTTTGTTGCGCCTCGAACGTGATGCGCAAGTCGCCGAGACAAGCTTCATCGTCAATCTCGCACTCTCGCACGCTCGAAACGGCTACATCCCAGAGCGCGAGTACGCCGAGCCCAAAGCCGAGCTCGAACGCGCGCGCGCAAAAATAGACAACATGATAGCCCAACTCTTGGCAGATGACTGATGACTGTTTTCAGCGATTTCACGCGTCGACCGAGCGAAATCCAGCACGCGAACCGTCGCGGGACGATATCTCCCGCCGACGTCCCACCGCGTCCGCGACGCGTCAACGAATCGATCGTTCCTACATCCCACGCGCGCGCGCCGCCGTCGAGACGCGCGCGCGCCGCCGTCGAGACGCGTCCGGGCGTCACATTCTCGATGGAGACACAGGACACAGTCTCGACCGAGAGGTCGTTTCGACGAACGTCACTGGTCGACGCACCGCGTCGCCGCGCGCGACGCCATGGCGTCGGACGACCGCACGTTCGATGCGTTGACCGAGATAGAGCGCGCGCACGCGTTTTGCGGCGACGACGACGCGGCGAGGGCGACGCACGAACGTCTCGAACAAGAGATCGCGATGAACTCGGGCGAGCCGGATCGAGGACGGGACCGACGACGAGCGACACGTAAGGGCGCGGGGACGCTCGATGACGCGCGCGCGGTGTCGCGCGAGTGCGTGACGACGTGTCGACGGTGTTTGGAGGCGTTCATCGCGTTGAGACGGGAGGACGCGCGGGAAAGGGTGGAGCGCGGGCGTGCTTCGTTCGCGGAGAGAGAACGCGCGCGCGCGGCGGAAGAATCGCGCGCGAGGTGGGATTACGAGCGGTTACATCGCGCGTTCAACGTCGGGGAGGTGAACGACCCGATCGAGATCGCGAGCTTGCGGGCGCACGCGAAGGCGAACGCGTTGAGGGAGATGTTGACGTCGCCGAGTCGGGCGAAAGGAAAGGCGTGTTACGACGCGTTCGGACACGTCTTCTCCCAGGCGGTTGGAATCGAGGTCGGGGGTGAGCTCAATGCGACGCCGAGCGCGATGGATGACGCGCGAGCGGTGATCGAGGAGGCGCGAGAGCGACCTTGTGGGTCGTTTCCAGGGGTGTTTTTGATGCTCACCGACGACGACAAACGTAAACGCGAGGAGGCGAAGCGCATCATCAAGGCCAGCGGCAACAACGGTCGCGGCGGCGTGCGGAACAAGCTGCGCTTAGAGAACTGCCCCGATAGTTTCGTTGACGACGTGTTCGGATTTTGGATAGATAGTTTATTGAGGGAGGAGTCGCGGAAAACTTCACTGAGACGAATCACTTGCGTGAAGATGCACGAAGATTTTCCCGAGGGCGTCGAGCCTTACGAGCCTAAAAGTGCGCGCGTGTGGTTTGCGTTGGCTTACACGCTGGAGATGTGCGATAACGCGCTGGTACAAGAGCTGTTCCAGTCGTATTCGGTCATTTTCCGACTTGCTTCAGACGCGGTGGATCGAGCAAACGAAAACACAAAGAACAGCCTTTCTCTCTCGCTCTCGTGCAACGCGTGCGAGGTCATTAACGCAGTCCTCTCGGTTCTTCCTCGCGGTCCGGACGCAGCGAGGGTGTTTTGGCCTCGCGTCGGCGTGCCTCCGAAGCATTTGATCGATGGATTGTATGACGCCTCGAGGCTCGTGAAGGACATGCCGGGGTCTCAGCTTATCGCCCTGAAGTGTCTCATGAACGTCTACCTCTTGCTCAACACGGGCGATGCTGTTAGCTCTGGAAAGATCGTCAGCATCTTGGTGGAGGAGATTCCGCGTCTCCCTCATCTCTATAGCCCGGATGTGCAGTGGCGCAGCAGGCTCTTGGCGTGCGAGGCCGTGAAGGAACAGTACTCGGGCATCGGCGTCGATGACGCTGTGTTGACGAGCGGGGCCTGGTACGATCGCGTTGGTGATGATTTGGCAAATAGTCTCAGAAACCGCGATGAACTTTCAGAGGGGGCACAGGCCACCAGAAACATGTTAGCAAACACACTCGTCACCACGATGGGTTACGTCATTTGTGCAGATGCCATCGCACTGAACGCTCTAGCAGACCCAGGATTCTTTTACTTTAGCCCCGAAGATTGGGCGAAAGAGCAACGCATCAAGGGCGATACCGCTACCGGTCGGCTTCATCTCAAGATTTTGAGCACGGTGAGGTTGAAGAAGCGCTGGAAAGTCAACACGAGTGTGTGGAAATATGCGTTGGGTTACGAAAAAATGTCGCCAATCAACGAAACAGGCGTCGGCAACCTCGAACCGCAATACGTTAGCGCGGTGATGTATGCGATGGGCCTTATCGCGCCGTACGCGCGCGATGACGACGGAGCGATGAAACCAGCAGATATCAAAAAATACTTTGGCAAGTACGTCGAGATCATTCCTCAAAACCAAGAAAACGCCGACGCGCTACGAAAAATCCTGAGCAAGTGCGGCGAGTGGTTTTTGCGATCACTGTTAACTTGCGATGATGCGCTTACGGAGAAGAAGCCACTCGATCGCTCCGATGACGAAGCGAAGTGCATGGAGGGTGTGGTAATGTGCATGATGTCGCAGCGCAATGCGCTGGTCACGGCAGCGGGCGAGGTCATGAAGAAACATTTTGATGAAACGAACCGTGAACAGTGTTACCGACGCATTTTGCTGGATGATGAACGATTGTCCGTGTCCAAGGCGGTACTAGGGGCGACGTACTGCGCGCTGAAAGACGTGAAGAGATTGTTGACAAACACTTCTGAGGAAGTGAGCGAACTTTTGAGGCGTGCGAGCGCACCGATTCTTCAAACGCATCACATCATCAAGGCGATCGACAAAGACGACAAAGAACGACTCCAGACGTTTAGCCAGCATTTGTCTCGGATCATGATCGCATCCATCGGCGTCTTCGAAGCGGTCGTGCGAGACGGCCCCAGGAGAGCGTCAGCGGTCGACGACGAAAGGCTCTACACCATGCTGGTCTACCTCAAAATGTACTGGCAGTTGATCAAGCAGCGCGAACAGGAGAAGATTTTCATATCCAATCAACCTGTGAACATTCTGAAACTTCTTCTCTCTTGGGATCCGAAGACTTTCAGCAAATCGAAGGAGCCCATTGACGGCGCTTGGATCGAGGCGATTAGAACTCTCAAGTTCGAAATTGAAAACGAACCCGACTCAACTTTTACGGCAAGTGCGCGCGAGTCGGCCGAGTGTCGCCATCTCGCTCAATGCCATGTGCAGTCGCAAGGAGAGAACGCTCTGAGCGACGAAATCAGGAGAAAGCTCATAGAAATTTTCCCTGAACTGTCAGTGCGGGTAGAGATGAGAGAGGAGGCGCCGGAAGTGAGCGAGTTGAACTTGACCCCATTGGACCAGACGAGCGTTATTCCGGACGCTCCAGACGAGATCGAACATGATTATGGTCCTGTTATTCACGTGGTGGACTCAGATCAGGAGTGCGAACCTCTGCCTACTCGGACGGACAAGTCACTGCGAGCTAAGTTCTCGTTGGATGGCAGTTCAGTCAGCAAGAAGTCAACGGCGCAAAAGCGGCCGGAACCCGAGTCGAACGAACCGGGTTGGTTGCTTGGGACGGATAAGCGGAAAAAGGCACGCTCGCATACTGCGCGCAAAGAAAAGGCGCCGCCGGACGAGCCCGTGGCTAAACCCACTGGTTTCAAGATTCGAAAACGCGCAGAGCAAACCGTTGAGACTGGGTCGTACATAAAGGACACTCGGAAAACTGTGGTTCCGATCGACATTACAGATGCGACTCATAAGGCGTCTAGACAAGTGATTTTTCCGACGATGAACTCGCGAAACACGGACTATTACGACATGATGAGTACCGTGGATCGCAACATTCAAGATGAATTCAATGTCAAGATGGAAGTACCGCCGCCACCAATCGAACGCAAATTCTCATCTTCAACGGTCAAGCGCGCTCAGACGACTCCCAGCGTCGAGCACAGACCGATGTATAAGGCTCCAAACGCGCGACGAGCGCCATATAAATTGGACGACCTCATACGAAGTACCTTGTGCATGAGTATTGAGCAGATAAAAGACGACACGGTGCGAATTCACTTGGCTAACTGTACTCTCAACGAGAAGGATAGTCATCTAGCAGACTTCCCCCCGAACACTTTCCACAGCGCCGTGGAGTATAAAGATCACTTTATTCCACTCATGTTTACCGAATTACGCGCGAACATTCACCGGGCACTGGAGAAGGGGAATCTCGGAGGTACAAAGCTAGGCGTTCTCGAGAACGACGGTGAGTTCAACGACAATACCTATACGAAGATCAAGCTGGTGATGCCCAGTACAGAGGTCGCAGAATCCATGTTCAAAGCAGACGATTTAGTACTGATGGAGACGGCGTCAAGGCGCGACAAGCTCATCGAGTCCCAGGAGGAGAAGAGTGAGTTTGTGAGTCTGAGTCAATCGAAACCGTCATCGCGAGATCACAAAATGTACGTCTTCGGTCGAGTTGAATCCGCGAGAGGGATGAATGTCATCATTCAGACGTATCTCGGTGGGAAGGGTGCGAACCAGCGCTTGACCACGATGAAGCGAGCCATGCAAACGACTGGCACACAACTGCGTGTGTCGCGAGTGCTCGAACTTGCCCCAACCCTTCGTGAGCTTCACGCCGTCTGCAGCATGAACGACGGACTCTTTGCCAGATTTAACACGCACCTTCCCAGTCGGATGCCGCTCATGTATCCAAAGCAGTTATTGGGCATCAGTGAGGATGCGTTTAAAGCCATGAGTCCGTCGTTGAACGAGACCCAACGCTTGGCTCTGCTTGGGGCGTGCGCGAGACCGTTCATCGACGATCCTAACAAGCGTGACGCGCCTGTACTTATACAGGGACCACCTGGTACTGGGAAGACGCACGTTATATGCTGTCTAATTGCGGCACTCCTGAACGGCCAAGACGCTCAGGGGCGTCCCAGGCGATCACGCGTAATTTGTGCAACGCAGAGCAACGCCGCGATTGATCACATCATCGAGCGCCTGGTGGGTACAGAGGGGTTGAATCCGATGTATGAAGGCTTGAGGAGCGTAATCATGGGAGCTGAAGTCATTCGAATCGGTTCCGCGGATAAAATTAACCCGAATTCCGCATCAGCGAAGTGTCACGTACGCGAGAAGCTCAGGGCTGGCGGCGTCAATCCTGAAGACGCTGAAGGAAACGTGTATGCGCAGAACAGCAAGTACTTCGAGAAGGAACTCAACGCCACAAAGGCACAAAGACAAAGACTGGAGCAAAAAATTCGAGCGGAGAGTCAGCGTTTAGAGAAGCGCAACGGCAAGTTTAGTGGTGTTAAAGTGCCCGCCTATAGCGTTGAACTGGAAAGTTTATTGGCCAAGCGTTTGGACCTCCTCAACACGCAAGACAGTTTGGAACTCAAGTTGAAGGGTAAACTCGTTGAAGAAGGTAGAAGTAATGGGAACGTGGTGACCACGACGCCGTTTGAGCAAATCATCGACCGCGCAAACGTGGTGTGCGGAACGCTCTCTTCTATGGGTCAACTCGCGAAGAAACAAGCGACGAATGGAGCTGGCCCTTCTCGCCCGTGCGTCGCGAATCTTTTCGACGTCGTGATCATCGACGAAGCTTCCCAAGCTGTCGAGCCGGCTTCGATGGTCGCGTTGCAGTGGCTCAAGCCAGATGGGCTCGTTATTCTCGTAGGAGACTCCAAACAACTCGGACCGACGGTGATTTCAAACGCCGCAAACAGAGCTCACTTTGGATCGAGTCTCTTCGAGCGCATGCAATCCGTCGGTTTGCCGAGATATGAGCTCAGCGAGCAGTACCGAATGCATCCGGAAATTTTGAGATTTCCAAACTGGCAATTTTACACAGACTCACTTCGATGCGGTGATGGTTGCAACGCTTTCACGCGTGCGGCTCCATACCACTCCATTCCAAACTGCGGTCCGTACCAGTTTTTCAACGCGCGACACGGACAGATGGTCGTTGATCGCTACCAACAAGGCGGTCGTTCGTGTTCGAACTCGCACGAAGCGGATTTCGTGTCTTACTGCTACCGACAGATCGCCATCGCTGCGAGCCAGTCGAGGCAACGAATCAGTGTGGGGATCATCTCTCCCTACATCGATCAAATTCAAAGGATGCGAGAGTTTGTCGAGCACATTCAAAAGCACGAGAATCGGGGAAACCTCGACACTTGGGCACCGGTGACGTACGGAACGGTCGATCAAATCCAAGGACAGGAATTCGACGCGGTCATAATCTCGTGCGTGCGAGCCCGAGTGAAGAGTGATGCGTCAAACTCGCTGACAGATGTCGGCGTCGGCTTTCTCAACGACGTGCGCAGACTGAACGTCGCGCTCACGCGCGGTCGTTTATCGACGTGGATAATTGGCAACTCTGATTCGCTGAAGAACGAGCAAATGTGGAGAGACTTGATTCACGACGCCAAAGAACGCCGCGTGTTTGTGCAGTGCGGAAGAGATGCTCCTTACAACGATGTGTTCACCTCCGGCACGGCTGCGACCGCGCCGCAAGTGTCGGGCGCGACTGGGGCGTCCGATCCCCAAGCACTCCCGCGCCGAGTCGTAATGCAGGAAAAGAATGATCCGCGGAGAGCGCGATTGGCAAAACAGCCGGACAGACTTGCGCAGACCTTCCTCCAGGAAGTCGAGGCTGGGGACAACGAGCCGGAATGGAAGACAATGGAAGAGTTGACTCGAGTTGACGACGCCCCGCCTCGGGCTTCGGAAGGCTTCCGAAGGGGGGTCGAAAGAGTGTTTGACGATCGACATCACTCGCTGTACGACTCTCACGGCGGTCGAGGAAGAGGAATCGCGGGCCGTGGACGAGGCGATGGTGGTCTTGGCCGCGGACGAGGCGACGGTGGACGTGGCCGTGGACGAGGCGACGGTGGACGTGGCCGCGGACGAGGCGACGGTGGTCTTGGCCGCGGACGAGGCGACGGTGGTCTTGGCCGCGGACGAGGCGACGGTGGACGTGGCCGCGGACGAGGCGACGGTGGACGTGGCCGTGGACGAGGCGACGGTGGACGTGGCCGTGGACGAGGCGACGGTGGACGCGGCCGCAGACCCGAAGCAATCGTGAAAAAACGCGGATGGTACGAAGACGAACTATCCGACTGATTGTGTACGATAGTAGATGAAATAAATCAATGTAACGTGCGGCGTACGCTTAAACGCGTTCCAAATCGAACGCCACGCCCGTGAGCTCGGCCGAGCGATTCCACAGCCAGAGTGCGTCGTCCTCGTCCAGGCACGTCTTCGCCGGCGTCTTCTCTCGACAATCGGAGAAATACTTCCCATTCGCGACGCCGCGTTCGACGTCCCGCGCCAGGAACACGCTCGTCGCCGCACCCTGCTCGGGCGTCTTGAGAAATTTCCGAATGAAGTTGTACAGCTTTTTTTGCCACCACTTTACCTCGGCGTCGGGCGGTTGCAGATACCTCCCCAACTCCGTGTCCACCGCCCCGGGGTGCAAACTCGCCACCGTCACCCCCCTACCCTCGCACCTACGCGCCAACTCATTCGCGAACAACACGTTCGCTAGTTTTGATTGTCCGTATTGCGTCCACGCGCCGTACCGCGTCTCCCCGAATAAATCGTCCCGACGCAGCCCTCTCGACGCGATGCGATGCGCCTCGCTGCTCACCACCACCACCCTCGCGTCTCCCGTCTCCCGACCCGCGCGTTCGATCAACGGAAACACCCACCCGATCGCCGCGTAATGACCCAAGTGATTCACCCCCACCTGCGTCTCGAACCCGTCCCGCGTGCGCGTCGCCGTCGGGAGCGCCATGACCCCCGCGTTCGCCACGAACGCGTCGATCGCCTCGTCCGCCGCTCGCATCGCTCGCCCGAAGTCTTCGATCGACGCCAGGCTCGATAGATCCAACGACGCGAACCGCAATTCGGCGTCGCACAGATCGTCGGCGCCGATCGTCGCCATCGCCGCCCGCGCCCGCGTCTCATCCCTACACGCGAGCGTCACGACGTCGTACGTCCTCGCCAGCGCCCGCGCGGTCTCGAGCCCGATCCCAGTGTTCGCTCCCGTGACGACGCAGTGCGTCGGGCGCCCCGTCGTCGCCCCCGCGCGCGTCACCACGCGCGTCATCGCGACAGATTCTGCCGCATCCGCCCATCGTCACGCCCGCGTCGCCCGTCATGGCCGACGCGACGCTCGACGACGCCGCGCGCGCGCTCGATCGACACGCGCGCGCGCTCGCGGCGGCGGACGTCGTCGAGCGCGCGTCGGGACGCGTGGACGTGTCGAGCGACGACGCGCGAATGATTCAACGACGACGGACGCGCGACGCGTGCGTGGACGCCCTCGACGCCGCGGATCACGTCCTGGACGACGCCGAGCGCGCGCTGGCGACGGGCGGTGGCGACGCGCGCGCGGTGGAGCGGTTAAAGGCGCTGCGGACGCGGGCGAGGGACGGACGCGCGGACGCCGAGGCGTTCGGACGCGGCGAACGCGTCGCCGCGCTTGGGGGGGTGTGCGCGCCGCCGAGGGTAGTGGAGAGCGTCGACGTGGGCGTGGAGGGACGTGGGACGTCGATCGGATCGGTGTTTCGCGCGTTGGCGGGACGGATGGGTACGGCGGCGGCGACGACGCGCGCGGGCGACGGCGACGGGCGGGCGGGCGACGGCGACGGGCGGGCGCGGTATTCGAGGCAGCAGCGCGAGAGAGAGGCGCACAGCGGGGTGGAGACGAGAGGTGTTCGACGCGGTGAGGCGAGCGATGGCGCGAGCGGCGGCGCGTCGGGGTTCTCGGGCGACGGCGCGACGCGAGGTACGTGGTTCGCGGGCGCGAAGGAGAGCTTGGCCAGAGTGGACATCGCGGGCGGCGACGCGCCTCGCGAGCGACCGGCGTCGAGGGTCGATTCGGAAGCCGCGGATCGAGACGAACTCTTCGGCGGCCGAGCGCGCGCGACGTCGACGTCGACGCCGTCGCGCGTCGCGGACGCCGCGCGCGGATACGCCGCCGAGCGCGACCAAAGGCTCGACGCTTCGCGCGGCGCCGCGCGCCTGGACGCCACGAGCGACGTCCTCGCTCAGTGCGCCGACGCACTCGCCGACACCGAGAGCGTGGGTGCGAGCGTCTTGGCCACGCTCGCCGCCCAACGCGAGTCCCTCGTTCGCTCCGGGACCGCCGCGCGGCGCGCGACGCGCGACGCCGACGTAAATTTAAAAATCGTCACGGGCATGAACAGCTGGACCAGGCTCGGGCGGTGAGCGATGCGCACGACACGCGCGCGCGCCCGTCGGCGAGAAGACGTCGGCGTCGCCATCCTAGCGTTGTAGTGACCCGGAGCGCGCGCGCGAATCGTCACTCGTCGCCGCGTGTCATGGATTTCATCGAAAAACGCCTGCGTCGCGCGCGCTTCGACCGGGCGCTCGTCGACGACGAGGACCCGACCCCGGGTGCGAGCGACCGAGCGCGCGCGGTGACGCGCGCGACTGACGGGCGACGGTCCGCGACGCAGTGTACACGACGGAACAATTGGTGGCGCTCGCGAACACGCTTCGAGGCGACGACGCGCGCGACGCGTGCGAACACCTCGCGCGACGCGCCGAGCACGCGAGTCCGCGCGTCGCGAGAAAGGCGCTCAAGTTGATCGCTCGGTGTTGCGACGGCGCGCGCGATGGAACGTTCACGCGGGAGATGTCAAAGCTCTCGACGCGGATTCGAGCGCTGCAATCGCGCGTCGGAGCGCCGCATCCGTCCAAGGGCGATAGCGAGCACGCGGCGGTGCGCGCGGCGGCGAGAGAGGCGATGGGGGCGATATTCGGTGGTGCGAAGGACGCGGCGTCGTCCGTGAACGGTGGGATGACGTCGGGGAAGATTGAGGGATTCGGCGACGGCTCGACGGTGGGCGCGCGCGCGATGGGACGCGCGGAGGGACGCGCGAGAGACCACTCGGCGCGTCCCGCGGACGAGACGACGCCCGATCGAGAACCGAGAGTCGGGAGACTCGATGCCCCGCTCGAGGCGTCGATGCGATCGACGCCAAAGTTGAATCTAGACGCGAGCGGTTCGGGCGTGAAATGGAAACCGCTTCGGCCGCCGTCGCCGGAGACGACGCGCTCGGACGCGACGACGGCCGCGCGCGCGACGGCGGTGGAAGACTTGCTCGCGGATTTCACGTCCACGAGCGCGCCGTCGACGTCACCCGAGCCGATGACGACGTCGGTGTCGAAGACGACGCACTCGCGGGATCCGAGCGTCGAATTCACGCTGGAAGGTTCGGAGGAAAAGGCCGCCGTGGATAAACTGTGCACGCCCTCCGGCGTACGGCTGTCGCCCGTAGAGAGCGACGTCGTTGATTTCCTACGCACGGGCGCGCACTTGAACGCGCAGGGCGTCGTCATCGCGTTGTCCGAACGATTGGTCGCGTACGCGGGCGGCGACGCGGCGTGGCGAAGCGCCTATCGCGCCGCCTGCGTTTTGGAGCGCGCCGCGGCGTGCGAAAAGCGTTGGCTCGCCGATGTCTTTTTACATTCCTCCGCGATGGATCTTCTGGACGCGATGGCGAACGACGTCAACGCGCACGCGCAGTTGCGAGACAAGGCGCGAAGCGTCGCGGACGCGTTACGTCGAGGCTTTCCGTCCCCGGCGCGCGCCTCCGTCGTCCCCGAGCCGAGCGCGCGTCCGCCCGCGGACGACGTCTTCGCGCAGCTCAGCGACCTATCCGTGCGCGCACCGCCCGCGCCGCCCGCCGGCGTCGGTCTCGCGACCCTCCGCGCCCGCCCGCCCGAGGCCGAGTCCAATCGTCTCCCCTCCGCGCCCCCGTTCGATCGCATCGACGACCTTTTCAAGTGACCCGTCGTCATAATCCACGCGCGCACCGCCCGACCACCGCCCCGATTCACGATTCGAATCGCCCGATGATTGGATACTTGCTCTTAAATCGCTCCGTCCACTCCTCCAGCGTCTTCACCTCTCCCTCGCTCAACCCCTCGCGTCCGCGCCCACTCGACCCCCGCGGAGGCGATCGTCATCGTCGCCAACGCGCGCGTGGCGTCCCGTCCGTTGAGCGCGGCGTAGGGTCCGTCGACGCCGTAAAACTCCCGTCCCGACGACACGTCGAACACGAGCCCATCGCACGCGAGCGCGCACGTCGGGGGATCGCCCGCGCGCGTGAGCGCGGCGAGCGTCTCCGCGGTGTACGTCTCGAGCGCGTTCGCGTCCGTCGCGACCGCGGGCGTCGACGCGGTCGTCATGATTCCTCGACGCGGCGATCGATGGCGATGATGGCGATGACGACGACGACGACGCCGACGACGCCGACGACGACGCCGCGGACGCCGCGCGCGCGCGCGGGACGACGACGGAGGACGCGCGCGACGCCCGCGCGGGCGATCGGGCGCCGAGCGGTGGCGATCGCGACGCCGCTCGCGGTGGGCGCGTTCGAGGCTCGCGCGCGAACGACGACGACGACGACGACGACGACGACGACGACGCGAGGGAAACGTCGGGTCGGGCGCGAGACCACGCTCGAGGAGCTCCGGTCGACGCTCGCGCGGGACGTCGGGGTGGAGGCGTACTTTGTCACGGGACGGTTGACGGAGGCGGCGTTCGCGGAGGATTGTCGATTCGTCGACCCGACGACGGATGTGAAGGGATTACGCCGGTACCTCGATGCGCTCGGGGCGTTGTTTGACCCGCAGCGGAGCTCGGTGGAGCTCTTGGGGGAGCTCGAGGCGAGGGAGACGGCGGACGGGGGGGGGGAGATTCGCGGGACGTACGCGTTGGAGGGATATTTGCGATTGCCGTGGCGGCCAAAGGTGCCGAGATACGAGGGGCGCATCACGTGGACGGTGGCGCCGAACGATGGGGGGGCGAACGCGGGGCTCATCGTGGAGCAGCGGCAGACGTGGAGCGTGTCGGGATTCGACGCGCTTCGCGAGACGTTTACGCCGAGTTTTTAAGTCGAGACGTCTCGCGGCGCGATGCATCATCCGTGTATTTTATGCGAATCGCTCGATCGATGTATTACAATATCAACGCCGAGGTGTGGAGCTTGGACGCGAGCTCGAGCTGGGCCCGGGTGAGGTTGGTCAAGTACTTGACCAAGGACGCGTCCTCGACGGCGTCGCCGAACACCTTGTCAAACTGCGACTTGGTGAGCTGCGGGACGCTTTCGAGCGCGGCGGAAAGCGCGCGACCGACCTCGGCGTCGCCCTGACGTTCGCCTCGCGCGACGGCGTCGACGTACTCCTGCGCCTCGGCGAGGAGCGCGCCCAGTTTTCCCATCGTCTGCGCCAAGCCCGCGACGTCGTCGTCCGACTTCGCGCTGCTCGCCGAGCGAAGCGCTCGCACGCCAAGCTTGGTGGCCTGCGCGAGATTTACCTCGCACTCGACGTCACTAAAGCGCGCGCCGGCGCATTTGCTTTCGCCGCTCTCTCGATCCGTCACCGCGAGCACCGTCTCCCCGACGCTCGCGCGCACAACCTCCCCCCCGCTCTCGACGCCGGTAAAATCAGCGTCCAACATCACGTGCACCGGCGTTCCACCCGCCGTCTCCTTGGCGAAGAATTCGTGCGCGAGCGCTCTCGCCGCCGGCGTCTGCGTCCCCGCGCTGAACCAACCCACCACGCGCTCCTCCGGCGTCACCCGCGCGTGCAACGACAGCATCGTTCGATGAAACTCCACGTCCACGAACATCTCTCCGTCTCTCTCGTGACACGGTATCGCGTACGACGTTCGGGCGTTGATCACGACTCTGCCGCACCCCAACGCGCTCGACGTCCCGAGCACCGCGCCGATCACCGCATCCGCGCGCTCATCTCGTCGAACGTAGCTGCGTGTCGAGCGATCGCGCGTGTCGTCAGTATACAAGCGTCGAGCGTACGCGCGCGCCCGTCTCGAGCGCGTCGACGCGCGCGCGGTGGCGCCCAGGACGCGGTGGCGTCGCGATCGCGTCCGCCGCCGTCGCGACCTAAACCCGCGCTGGCGGCGATGAAAGCCTTTGTCGTCGCGCGCGCGCACCTGTCGCACGCGCCGAGCACGACGGAGGGGTCGACGATGACCTTGGCGATGGATCCGGGGGGGACGAGGGCGGGCATCGCGATGACGCGCGCGCGAGTGCCGTTTTCTGGAGATGCGATGGCTTTAGGGTTGAAAAATCCAACACGCGCGCGACGCGCGAGGAGAGACGAACGGATCGGACGAAGAGCGGGACGTGATGTGTCGAATATCATATCGTTATCGTACAGAATTAAACGATTAATCGAAGGCGAGATGTGGACGACGATCGTGCGGAGCGTCGAGCGCTCATCTCGAGTTTCGCGTCGCGAGCTTCTCCACCGCGGTGGCGAGACTGGTGGCTTGGAGTTTCGGGCTGAAGTGCACCTCGCACTCGGTCGGGTCGATCTGGAACGCCTCACACATGGAGTCTCTGACCTTGGTGAGACGATCTCGGAACATGTGTTCGAGCTCAGCGCGCTCGATCCCACTCAAGCGCGACTGCGCGCCGCTTCGCGCGCCCTTGACGACTGGAGCCAATCCAAAGGCGGGATGATCCTCCGTCACGGCGGACTTGGTCCTTCCATTCGCGTTCGCTTTCGCGGTTTCAGAAGACGCAATGCCCACGGAGGGCTTTCGACCCGGCCTGCGCGATGCGGGTCGAGTGTTTCCCATGGAATCGAGCGCCGCGGCGGCGAGCGACGCGAGCGGATCGTCGTCCATGTCGCCACCCTTACGCTTGCGACCACGCTTGGACGGCCCCGGCGGACGGCCTCTACCGCGCGGTTTCGGAGGAAGTTTTCCATCGTCATCATCCGCCGACCGAGACCCCCCGGATCGACCTCTCGGCGACAGGAAGGCTTCGGTGTCGCTGGGATCGTCCGTTCTCCGAGCCGGTCGAGCCGGCGACCACGCGCCTCGCACGGCGGTCAACACTTTCTCCGGCGGCCCCACGTAATTCGCCGCCACCAGATCACCTTTCATCGGTTTCGGATTCGACGACGTAGACGCCTTCTTACCTTCTACACTTTCCATCTCAACCTTGACTCCGTTCCCAGCCGGCGGCGTCGGCGTGTTGCTCAGCAACGGCTTGAGCGTCGCGTCGTCTCGCTTCACCGGCGTCGTTTCACCTCGCATCGCGGGCGGCGCCGTCGCCGGGAATCCCGTTAATACCTGCGGGAGTACAGGTGCTTCGGTCGCGGCTTTAACTGGCACGGTAATGTCGTGAATCTTGTGCGCGAGCTCCAGCAAGGTTTCGCCCGCTCCGTTCGGTTCGTCTCCGTATCCGCCGCGACGTCGAGCCTCAAGCTCGCGCACCGCGTTCGCGGCCGCGTGCACACGAATACGCGTCGCCTCGCCTCGGTTTCTTCGCGCCTTGTGATTCGCCTTTGAATACGCTTGCTGCAGTTTCTTCGTCGTGTCGTCCAGATCCAACATCGCGCACTCCTCCATCTTGCGCTTTTGATCCTCGAGCTCCTCCACCGATTTCACGAGAAGTCTGTTCTGATCGCCCGGGGAGATCCCAGCTTGGACGTTGGTGATCAGCCGATCGAGCGATTTCATCTTCCGGAACGGCCAGCGCTTGATGCCGTACTTACGACACTGACGCTTGAGCACCGTCAACCCCACGCCGAGCTTGCGACACGCCGCCTCTGACGGTAGGTGAAAGCAGCTCGACAGCTCTTCCTGCGTGATCTCACTCGCGCTTCGGAACTGTCGCACGCGACGATTTTCTCTCGATTGGTTCCGCTTGTCCCTACTCTCGGCGTCACCCTTCAACGAGCCATTCGGCTCGCCCGCGGCTTTCGCCTTCGCTCCCTTTGACGTCTTACTCCCCGTCCGCGCCGCCGCGAGCTCATCCTTGACGCTCATCAACGCCTCCGCCCCCCCCTCAAAATCATCATAATCGTATCCATCGCTCTCGCTCACGTCATCCATGCGTTCACCGAGCTCGTACGCGTCGTCGTCGTCGCCGTCGTCGCCCGGCGTCGTCGCCTCGCGCGTCGCCTCCTCCGCCCCGCGCGCTCGTTCCATCGACCCCCCTCCGCTCGCCGTCCCCTCGCTCGTCTCATCCTCATCCGTTCTCACGAACCACGCCGCATCGATCCCACGCTCCCGGTCCATGACCCTCGCGCGCGCGTCCTCGGTCGAATCCCGCGCCCCGAAGCGATGTCTCACAGCACCCAAAGCGTCACCGCGCCCTCGCGCGAAACGACACGACGATCGACCCCACGCGAGGTTTCCCCGCGCTCGCTCCCCCCCCCGCGCCGCCCGCCGCGATCGCGCGCGTCGAACAAAAACCCCTCGCTGTGTTCCGCCCCCCCGCGTCCGCCCGCGCCCCTCGCCCGCGCGTCCACGACCGCGTCTTCGCCCGCCGACGATCGCGCGGCGTCGCGTCGCGCGCGAGAATTCCTCGTCGAAATCCCTCCCCCGCGCGGTCCGTCGTCGCCGTCA